TACACACACACACACACACAAATTTTATGTATAAGAAATTGATTTTCAAGCCACACAATATTCCTAATGATGATGCGATTCATACACTTGATTGCAATGGTTTCATCGGCTTTTGTACTTTGTGTGTAATGTATTCACAATCACACACACATTTAAATCTACAGAAATAACTCATAGAGTCGACAACCAGAAAACCTTTCCTCAAGAAACAATTTTCAGTGGTTGAGATAAGTTTGGTTTGGTGTTTTTGACTTTTCATCACTTTTACTTAAATATATATAAATTTTATTTGAATAAGGCATACGGCAAAAGTATTTGATGTGAATGATTCATGATCTTTAAATTCTATGTAGGCAGTAATTAAGGTCAGTCCATGGAATTACCTGAAATGAACCTCTGTGTGAATATCTAATGACTTCTGACTAAATGACTATGAAATATGAATGACTTTTTTATCCACAGAAACCGAAACACATCCGCAAATGGTCGCGAATTTTTTTATCTGCGTTCCTTTTTGAAATATTTAATTTGCTCTCTTTTATCTTCATTATTGTGGAGCATAGACTTCATAAAATGATGGGATGCACTTTGGTTTGATTGATGTTTTTTTTTCTACTTGGAACTAAACCTGATCATAAATACTTTACTAAATGAAATTGAGAAAAACTAGATTAGAGAATTCAATTAGAAATTAGAGAAATGGAAGGCTTGCAATTCTTATAATCATCTTAGAAACAATGCTATTAAATTGAATGTCACAGTTACTATGAACACAAAATTCCAAAAATAAGGCTTTCGTCTCACGTCACTACAAATTGTGCGTCATCAAGATATACAGTTTGCGTCAATTTTTCTCCTTTCCTCCCACATACATAAAGTAAACCTTATTGCGTGCGAGACCATGACCCCTTAATTATCCCATATTTGCCCATTTTCTGATCTCAATGGTCCTTCTCATTTCCATCCCTCAAATTAAAGGAATAAGGAAGTCAGTAATAAGGAAAAAATACCACGTCGATTAAATAAATAATTGATATAAAAATAAGAGCAATGTTACGGGGTGTTTTTAAAGTATGAAATATTTGCGCAATGTAACAAGGCATTAAAGTGCCTCTTGAATTCTTTTATTTTCTTTTTTTTTATCGTCTATCCTACATTTGAATTTTTATGGAGCTGAATGTCAAGAATAATTTTTATATACCATACAGCAACAAAAAATCATTATAATATCCACTTTGTTTATTTGTTTATCCTCTCAAAAAATATTTATTTTTTTTTGCTTCCTCGCCTGTCATTTTGAATGAAAAATCCACTCAAAAGTGAAATCTTTCCCTTCATGCACTCCGCTTTTTGGCCTCATTATTTGAGTGACTTAAAATCAACATTATGGATGGAGATGAGGGATTTTTTTTTTTCATTGATAAATTATTCAGTGCATCTTAAAGTACATTGAGTAAAAAAAATGTTGGGAAAATAATAAATTTGTAGGTTGAAGTGGACTGAGCGCAATTTTAGAAGGTAGTCAGAAAGTTTAACGATAAAATTGGTTTAAAATCTAATTCTTGTTTTTGTAGACAATTATTAAGTCTTGTTACACATTTTCTAATTAATCTCATTTTTAAAGTATACTTAACCATTCCCTACCCTAAAGTCACCCGCCAAAATGCACAAAACACCATTCTATAGCTGTTAAAAAATTCGCAAGAATGAAAAATGGAAACGAAAATGACTTTGCGGATAAGAAAGTTTCAATTTTACCTTCAACATCAAATTTTCATCATAATTACAAATGTAGATCAAAAGGGAAGAAGCAAAAATACTGGTAGGCCAAAATTCTTGGTTTTCTGCTTTCATTTTTACGTTTAATATTTCATTTTTTTATCTTCTTCTTCCACGTCGCTCTGGTGATATCTTTCGTTTTCTTAGATGGTCACTCATTTAAGTAAAAAAGGAATTTTACGCTTCGAATTTCACATTCAATGAGCAGAGGAAATTTTCCTCGTCGTTTGTTTTTCTTTGTGTTTTTTGTTGATTCAAAGTCTTTTATGGTTCATGAGAAAATTAAATTTTTGTCTTGTGTTTTTGTGATTTTGGGCAGTTTATGGTAAAGTTAGAGATCAAAAGGTATTTGTTGATACTTGAAATATTGAAAAGTTTATGAGAATTGGTGATTTTTTGGGGCACTTAGTAACTAGGTTAAAGAGTTTAGCTCATCTTTGTAGCCATGACAGTTCTAAGCTTTAAGAAAATGTGTAAAGTAGCTCGATAATTTTCTAATTCATGCTCCAAAAAACTGTTCAAAATGTCATTAAAATCTCCAAAAATCATTGACGAGATTCAATATCCAAAAAAACTCACACTTCTCATTTCATTCCACATATCCTCGAACGTTTGTATTCAAATTAACGTTCAATATGTGTCTCAGTCTAATGTGATGAATAAATGGAATTTAATTATTCCTTTTTCACATTCACAGCTCCTTGCCTTCTTTCATCTCATTTCATTTTTTTTCTTCTTCAAAATTTTTGTAATGAAATTAAATTCCAAAGCATAAGGATGAGTTTTTACGATTGTCACATTTGTTCTTGCTTCTGCTTTTTATTTTCTTGTTGTTATGCGCAATATTTCATGTAATTTGATTTGAAAATTGATTTGCGAACGTGTTTGATTGTCAATCTTTGAGTTTGTAAATTGATAAAGGAAATAAAAGAAGTTGAACAATGTTCAAATGCTAATTTGAAATGAAAATGAGGAAAATAAAAATCAAACAGTCAATATTCTCTTCCTTTTTGATCTCGGAAAGTGTTAATTTAATTGACAAATAAACAATGTTAGCAACAAGCGTTGACATGCAAGTTAATGTTGTCGCAATTTTCTTTAAAATAAAAATAAGAAGAACGAAAAGTTTAAAAGAATAAAAAAAATAATTTTAAAAGTCGTTTATCGCGTTAGACGATTTCACAAGGCTTAGCACCCTCCTCGATTGTGTCATGTTGTTTTTTTTTGTAATTTTCTGTAGTTAACCATTGAACGATGGATATGGATGTAAGAGGTATTATTTGATTTGGTTTGAGAGATTTAAGCGCATTTGATAGTGTTGGGAATATATTAATAGTCATTTCATATTCAAATTATGTATGCAACTATAATTAGTTTATTTCCCTTTGTATAGTTGTTAACCCCTTCTATACTAATATTTAAGGGTAATTCCATGAGTAATGGGAACTGTGAAAAAGCACTATGCAATATTTCTCTACTTGTAAAAATTCAAATTTCCCAAAACCGTTATAATTTCTAAACGTTTTGTTGTTTATTCGAGTGAATTAGCCGCAATTCCATCAAAGAGAGATGGTTCAAATATACATGATCTTTAATGTTTTGAAACTTTAGTTACTTGCTCAATTAAATCAAATAAATGTAATAAACTTACAAGTAAAATCAAGAAAATCTAATGGTTTTTGTGAATTTGAAATTTTTTCAGTGTTCTGTTTTGCAATAATCGGTCAAAAATTGACCGATTAATGCTAATTTTTTTGGTTTTTCTTCTTAATTAAAGCATTAAGGAATGCAAATTATACATAAAACAAAAGCCTGGCTAATATCTAATATGTTAAAAGTAACTTTGGAACATAGAAGTGTGTATTTAAGTAAATATTAGGAAATGTTTAGAAAACGATTTTTCGAAAACTTGACCGATTAATTTTACTTTTATTAAAAAAACAAGAATTAGACATATTTCTGATTTGAAATTCTCACATATGGAGATAAATATTGTGTTAATAAACATAATAAAGTTACAATTTGGAGTACAAAGTTCTTAGTTAAGGAAATATTTTTGAAAAATTGGAGCACCAAAATTTTTTTCACTCATGGAATTACCCTTAATCTGTTTCTAATTATCGAACAATAAACATCTTGTTATTAATTACAAATCCTTGTGAATTCTTTAATTAACCTTATTAATAAAAGAACATTCTGATTATCAAACCAACAGATAGTTATTTTTAAACTGATTTTAAAGATTTGCCAATGAAAACTCCATAAAGAATTCAGCCAGTCAGTCAATCAGTCATTAAAACTAAAACTTCCACCAGATTCCACGAGTAAAAAATGATAAACAAGTCTCCCACTGATTGTCTCCCCAAAAATACACACCATGCAGCTTAAGAAAATTAAATAAAATCCATCCATACTAATCCTCTCCATCCATTCGTTCACATTCAGGCAATTTCATTTAGTGGCTATATTCGAACAGAAAAATTGTTTAAAATTGATCGACGAAGGATAACAAAATCAATAAATTAAATGAGAATAGGAGGAAGAATATTGAGGGATAAACAGAAGCAGCGGCAGTGAGCCATTTAAATGTAAACGATGGTGACGGACGGGAGGGATAGAAAGTGGAGAATTTTTTTTTATTGCTGCTTCTTCGTTTTGTGACATTTTCCTACAAATTGTGAGGATTTTACGCAACAAAGGACAACACCATGACAATTTCATTGATCTTAAAAGATTCTCTCCTTCGTTGCCTAAGCAATTGTGATGACGTTCATGGTAATAAGTATAATTTATTGGTGGCAATTGTGTTATTGTGTAAAAATGAGACTATTCTTTGAAAACTTTAAGGAATCCCGAGTCTGTTAACATTTGGAGATTGCTTAATAGATGAAATTTTGTTTAAAAAAACCTTTTGAAGTTTTTTGGAATATAAATTAAGATTTTTGATAATTTAAATCGACTCAAAGTCTAATAATATTAATATTATCTAGCTTAACCTCAAAATTAATCGTTTTTGAACTTTTTTCAACATTAAAATCAACATAAAGATTCAAAGTTCACACAAAATACCTTGTTATCTTCAAAAGAAGTTACAAATCCGCAATACAATTCGATGAATAAATATCCCAAGATAAATTTATATCCAATTCCAATTTATCAGTGGTTTGAGAATTTATTGCTTCAACTTTTTCGGAATCTTTTTGTTTCACATTTAAAAATTATCACTTACCACGTCCACTTCTGCCAACAAATCTAAGATCATTAAACTTTGCAACTTGATTTTTCATCACTGTCGTACAATTTCGCAATTCACCGTGATAATTTTCATCATTACCGCACATTAAATGAACGACAGTTCCATCTTGCACGTCACCGAGTGCGACCACTTTAAATGCGATTGGTAATGTCTTATTTGATCGCCAATGAGTGGGTAGAACTGTACAAACAATATGTGGACATCCAGTCCTCGTCAATTCACCAGGATGTTCAGCTATAAGCGAATCAATTGTTCGCTCAGCTAAATTTTCAGCAGTTAATGGCGAATCACGTGGATTTGCAGTTCCACCATTAGTCGATGAATTTGTGGTTGAACTACGTTGATTATTAGCACCAGATTCACTGTTTTTACTTTGTTCCGACGGTGCAGCCGTCGTTGATGTCACCACTTCCGTAGCTATATGCATTTTAACTTTCAACAAATTTTTCATGAATTTTCTTAATTTTTATTCATTTTTTAATTTATTTTTTTTTATTTTCACAAAAAAGACACTCAAAAAAATAACAAATAATTTTCGCACAATTAAAAAACTACTTTTTATTTTTGCCCCGTTTGCGTCCAATCACTACCGCGTCAAGAATGTTTCTGTCACCGCTAAAACCTTTACTTGAAACCAAGAAACCCATTCCGATGTTTTGTGGCTACAAAAATGTTGAATAAAAATAATAATAACACAACCAGAGCTCGATGGAGAAGAAGCGGAGGTTTCTTTCTTATTTTTTTTCTTCGGTTGTTTCACAGATTTTGCGGGGGCCATTGAAGACACGAGAGAGGGGAGGGTAGTCAATTCTTTGGGGTTGGATGGATAAGAGAAAGAAAAAAAAAAGTTTTGTTGCTTGTATTGCCACTTTTAGCGTAAAAAAAATCATTGAAACGATACCAATACAAATGTCTTTAATGTCTTACAAGTGAATGTACTTGACGATGAATGAGAAATAAGAAGATGGTGATGAGGTTAACATCAACGACCGAAAGAGTTTTTTTTTCACTCATTCTCCATGTGCTTTACTGGCTGAGAATCAAGCCAAAGCTATATTTTTTTTACTAGAGGTGAAAATTTATGGTTTCAAACTCCGCCTAAATTTTTTTCTTCTCTTTTTCCTTAAAACAAATTACAACAACAAGAAAAAAAAACCCAGTTGTGGCACTCGTGGTTTTCAACCAATGTGGTGCCACAAATACTAACAATCCTGTTAAGAAAAATTCCTTTTCGTCACGTCAGTGTAGTTGTGTCAGTCACCCACTTCCTCACACCCCATCCCGTCCATAAAATCTAAAAGAGAGAAAAAAATTGCGCGCAATGATAGGAAAAAAAAAGTGGGGAAGTAAAAAAAATGAAGAAAATTTTCTTACGTATTTTATTGTCGTCCTGCTTACACTTTTATTTTCTCTTTCTTCTCTGTTTTTCGGTAAGCTTTTCTTGTGGTTAAATTCACCACAATATAATGCGGTCGCGTGCTCTCTTGTGGTGAGTTTTGAGTGTATTTATATGTTGAGTGAATTGTTTGTGGTGATTTATGGTGTGTTTTAAGGCTTTGTGGTAAAGTTTTTGGGTAGTTTTTGTTCAATTTAGTGGTTTTTTGAGAGTTTTTGAGAAACTTTAAAGTTGAAATAATATTAACGGTTGGAAAAAATTCAAAAAAATTCACCACAAAGCTTTTTTGGGATTTCACCACTTTGTTTGTAAACAAACCAATTCAATTTCTGAATTCTTAGAAAATAAAGTGAATTAAGCTACTTATATCATAGATATCAACAGAATGAATCTACTGCAAGCTGTTAATCAAAATGATGTTGAACGTGTTAAGGAAATTCTAGCATCAACTGCAAATATTAACGCTGCAGACAATCATAATTTTACAGGTATGGAAAACTGAATTTTTCACAATTTTCTAGCACTAATTAAGTCGTAATTCCAGCTTTACATCATGCAGTAGTCAAAAGAAATGTCGAAATTTGTCATCTCCTTCTTGATCATCAACGATTCAATTCATTATCTGTAAGTTTTGAAGGATTATCAGCATTAATGGTTGGAATTACAACAAATTGTCCATTCGAGATATTAGAGCTGTTGGTTCTCAAGAAGCCACAAATTGTCAACATAAAAAATAATGAGGAAGTAGCACCATTACACGAGGCTGTCAAAAACAAGAGATTAGAGGTTGTAAGACTGTTAATTGAAAATGGAGCAACAGCAAATTGCTACGACTTAGATTTAGAGAATTGCTTACATTTTGCAGCATCAAACTGTGATTTCGATATGATTGAGTATATTTTAAATGAGACAGAAGTCGATCCGCGAGCAAAAAATCGTGATTCTATGAATCCATTATGCTTGTTACTTGTAAGATCTAGGAATGAACCAGCTGATATAGTTTCGGCTTGTTTTCATTTAATGCTTGAACATACATATGAAAAAGACTTTAGAATTAATAATTACAAAGTAGAAGACTTATTTCAACCAGCTTTTCTGGCTACAGTTTATTCACATACTGAAATAGTCAAGTTTATCATTCACAATATTTATTCAAGTAGTAACAAAAAGTATGAATTTATTAGAAATTTATGTGAATCGTGTACTGTAGATGAAGATGAGGAATTCCTGTATTACCTTTTAGTGTTCCTTCATGATGATATTGACAAATATGACAAATTTAGCTTTCCAAGATTTTCTGAAATCAACTATTTTATGTGCATCAGATCTGTAGTTTATGTCCTGCAGAAGTTACTAGAATCGCACGAATCAGTAACTTTAGCGATAGCTTTATTGAATGTGTTGGAAACAATTGAAATGAACATAAAAGTTAGAGAATTTGAGGATCAAGTTGGAGTTTTGCTGTATGACAGATTTTCAAGTGCTACATTTGCTCCGAGTCACATCGAGAACATTGATCGACTGCTTCAGTACTTCTTTAATAAAGGATTCAATATTAGCACAACTATAAAGTCGGTACTTCATTCAACAGCAGTTGCGAATGTCAATCAAACAAATGTCTTCAATTCAGCTTTGGAAGTTCTTAAGATTATTTTGCCGTATAACAGCACATTCTTCACAGATGCTGAATGCTGGAAGCAAATTAACGAATTCAAAAATCTAAACGAGAATATATCAAAAATTGTGACATGGCTTAATGACAATTATGGAAATTCAATGACAAATCGGATACTTGATGTAAAAATTGTCTATACATTGAAGCATTTGTGCCGGAATGTTTTAAGGAATCAGCTGACCGGCAATTTGAAGCTTCTTCATCAAGCAGATTTTGCTACACAATTGAAATTACCTCACATATTGATGAACTTTTTAATATTTAAAGAATAAAAATTAAATTCATTTGGGAATTCCAAATTATCTGGATTAAAGAATATTAAGTTGTTTCCTTGGGAAATACCAATCGAAAGTTAACTGATAAGAACGTTTGTTATGTTGACGCGATTGATTTGAACTACTTAAGTTCAAAATTTTTAATATCATGAACTGATAAGATAATTAAGTTTTAAGAAGAAATTTCAAAATAAATTTTCATTCTAGATTTTATGATATCGCCAAAAAGTCAAAAACTTGTTTTTACAATGTTTAAAAAAATGGAATCTTTTGAGGAATAACTTATTTATGCTTCATAAAGAATCGAACTCGAATCGTGTTTCAATTTGACAAACTTATAATTTACCGGATTCAATCAAGATTCAATAAACCTGGCTAAGCTAATATCTGCTTGACCATTCTACTCCCTACTAAGTTAACTGATTAGGAAGAAATGAAAATTTATTTATCAACGACAAAACTTCTAAAACAGCAAAAGAATTGAAATTTTCTATATTTCATAAAAAAATTATTTTGGAGCTTATTTTGCTAAACCTTTTTCTATCTTATCGGAACTCTCTTCCTACTTGTAATCTGTTGCAGCGATTTCACGCAAAAATTTGTGAATGAAAATTCATGACATTAAGAAATTTATTGTGGCTAATATCTTATCAAGGTAGTAAAGAAACTTTAAACAAGAAAATGGAGTTATGAAATGGTCCGTTTTAGTTTTTGTATTGGATGACCTTTTAGTGAAGTAGGGAAGACTTTTAAGAATCCTGACTTTTTGCGATTAAAAATGATTTTTGTTGATAAATATTTTTATTTGGAATTCATCTTGTTCTTGACGCAAAGCTCCGAAAACCACCATCACTGAAGTGCAAGAATTCTAGTTCTAGAATACATGGAGACTTTATGTTTGAATTATAGCTTTTTAACAACTTAAATCTCGTTATCTCATGTGAAAAAGTAGTTTATATAATTGAATAAAGACTATTAGACTCAAAAGACAAACAACCTACACCTTTAAGGTTTTACTTTTCAAGTAATTCCAAAAAATGCTTCTCTTCGTTGTAATATATGACTTGCCATTTTAAGTTTATATCTTCAATCTAAATTAAATTAATTTTTAACTTGCCTTATATACTGATAAATTAATCGCAAAACTTAATAACAAAAAAACTGAGACAGGCATAGTTCGTTAGTATCACTTGATATTATTATTATTCTACACTAAATGTTGAAAGTATATAAAAAGGCTCCAAAACTTTAAAATCGTTTAGTTCTTTCGGTTCAGTCAGAATTGTTTATTTCAAAAAAATCAATAAAAAACTAGAAAAATGAAATATTTGATTTTAGCTTTGTGCGTTAGTTTCACATTAGGACTAGAATTCGATCGTCCATGTCGTACAGATGTTTCAGCCAAGGAGAACTTCTCACCAGCTTTCGTAAGTTTAGTGCAAAATTTTCGTGGATAGTGTGAATTATCTATTAAGTCTTCAATTAAAATAGTACACCGGAATCTGGTTTGAACTTTACAACAGTCTTGAACAAGGATTCGCAGAATGCATTGATCATCATTATACACGTAGAGGATTACAACAAGTTTTCGATGTTGAAAGAACTGGCATTAATAATGGAACAAGATTGAGAGAAACTGCAGTCGTTCGTGTTGTAAACCCTGAAGAGACTCCAATGAGAGCCATTTTACAAGGAACAGTCAACCGTATCAATGGAGAAGTCATTACTTACAACTACAGAATCCATGCTACTGGTAACTTAATCTTTAAGACAAGAAATTCAAGAAATTTCATAATTATCATTTAGATTATACAAACTACGCTATCGTTTGGTCATGCGTTGATCTCGAGAACAACAGATCACGTGAAGAAGGATCAATTGTTGGACGTGCTACACAATTGACACCAGCAATTTATGCTAAAGTTGATGCCCTCCTTGAAGAAATTGGATTGAACAGAGAAGATTTTAGATTCATTGATCATTCTCCTGAAGCGTAAGTTAATTATATAAAATTTTAAAATCCCTGTTCTAATTCCATTTAATTTTTCAACAGATGCGGTCTTACTCAATAAAGTGTAAAATTTAAAAAATTAACAAAGAAAGAATAAATATTTTGGTAATTAAAAGTGATTGAAAAATTTGATTTACAATTGTGCTTAAACTGGGTTAAAAAAACAGTAAACAATAAGGTTTTAAGCTGCAAAATTGATTAAGCTGTGCAAAAGCGTCTATTTTTTTGAAATCTCATTCTATCATCACTTAACAAAAACAATCTCCCATCCATTGATCCAGTATTTTACTCTACACTTTGATATCAGCCAATTGTTAATAATTAATCAAAGGTTTCAAATCTTGGAAATTCCCAGCAAACTTATTAGCCATATGAAATAAAAAATTTAAAGATAAAAATTTCTGCACCTGTTAAGAGTAACTTCAATCTAAAACAAGATATCTTTAAATCATAAAACTCAAATCTTAAAAAAACAGAAACTTTTTCCGAACTAGAGTTAAAACTTAGCCACTTCAAACTCATTCACTTAGTTTAAAGACAACAATTCTCATAGAATGCGAATAATTCTATTTGAGCTTGACTTGCTTTCATATCTTATCGACTCTGTCTTCCTCTGGCTAATCTCTAGCTGATAAAATTGAAGCAAAATCTGTGAATGAAAAATTGATGACGTTAAGGATTTATTGCCATTCTTAATATCTTATCGAAATAGTAGAAGCACTTCAAGTGAAGGAAATTGGATTTAAAATATCTAATTTTAAACTATCGATTTTCTTTACGTCATTTTGAAATAGTTTCTTTTCATTGATTTGATATAAAGGAAATCTTTATATCTTTACATTGAAAAAGAAAATTTAATTTCTGAGTTATTTAACTAAGTCTGCCTAATTGCTGATAATTCTATCGTAAAATTCTACAACTTATCATTCAGATAAGCATAATCCTACAAATTAAGATTGCAATTTTTTATCGTTTATTCAGAAAGTATAAATTCGCAAGAAAGCACTGAGATCTTCTAGTCTTTTCGGTTCAGTCAGAATTGTTCATTTTCAGAGAAAGTAACGCAAAAAAAGGGAATAAAGATGAAATATTTGATTTTAGCTTTGTGTTTCGGTCTTACATTAGGACTTGAATTTGATCGTCCATGCCGTGATGATGTTGCAGCTAAGGAAAATTTCTCACCAGCTTTCGTAAGTTTAGTGATTAGGTTTAGTGAATAGTGTGAATATCCAACAAATTTTCTTATAAAAAAATAGTACACCGGAATCTGGTTCGAACTTTACAACAGTCTTGAACAAGGATTTGCAGAATGCATTGATCATCATTATACTCGTAGAGGATTGCAACAAGTTTTCGATGTTGAAAGAACCGGTAGAATGGACGGCGTTATGGTTAGAGAAACTGGAATCGTTCGTGTTGCTTTCCCTGAAGAAACTCCAATGAGAGCCATTTTCAATGGAACAATCAATCGCATCACAGGAGAGGTTATCCCATATTTCTATAGAATCTATGCAACAGGTAAGTTAATAGCAGCCACAATAATCATATCAAAAATTAAAATATTTCATTATGTTCTCAGATTACACAAACTATGCCATCGTCTGGTCATGCATTGATCTCGATAACAACAGATCACGCGAAGAAGGTCAAATTGTCGGTCGTCAAACACAATTGACACCAGCAGTTTATGCTAAAGTTGATGCTCTCCTTGAAGAAATTGGATTGAACAGAGAAGATTTCAGATTTATTCTTCATACACCTGAAGCGTAAGTTAACCTTCAATAATTGTTTCAATTTTCAATCTAACCTAGTTCTCATTTTATCAACAGTTGCGGCCTAGTTGAATAATGTGTAAAAATTGAAAATCAATAAATTGGTTAATTGTTAAAATTATTCTAAGACTTTTAATTTGCTATGTGTGGAGCTTAAGTAACAATTTTTACAGTTGAAAATTGAGTGTGTATATGATTGTTATCCTCGTAATTCCATCAATTATCTGCCTAATTTGTCAGAATTTCTAAGATAATAGACTTTAAGAAGCTCAATTCGTTCATAATCACCAAAAAAATATTTTTCAAAAAGAAAATTTATCATTCAGCTTATGAAACCTTAAAAAAATACTATCTTATCGATACCGCCTTCCTTCTTCATAATCAACAGCAGATTAAACTCGAGCAAAATTTCTGAATCAAAAATTATTGACGTAAAATATTTATTGCCTCTTTTATCTTATCGAAAAACAATGCAGACACTTTAATTGAAGGAAATTAAGCTTTGAATATATTTGCAATGAAGCACATACACGTGAATTCAGTAATCCTTTTAATTTCAGTTTATAGCTTTTCACAAATAAATATATAAAATTGAACAAACATTTGAATTTTAACTAAGTTTTCATTTAGTTTCCTCATAAACTGATAAGTTTGTCGATTCGTTTTTGAACTTATCTTTGAGATAAACTTAATCAAATCGATTGAAAATTCAATGAATGTCGACATATTTCCAAAATGTATAAATAGTCCTCAAAAACTATAAATTTTTTAGTTTTTTCAGTGCTGTTAAGATTGTCAATTAAAAATCAGTAAAATGAAAAATTTGATTTTAGCTTTGTGTGTAAGCTTCACATTAGGACTTGAATTCGATCGTCCATGTCGTACAGATGTTTCAGCCAAGGAAAACTTCTCACCAGCTTTCGTAAGTTCAGTGCAAAATTTTCGTGAAAAGTGTGAATAATCGTTTGCCTCTCCAATTAAAAAATAGTACACCGGAATCTGGTTCGAACTTTACAACAGTCTTGAACAAGGATTCGCAGAATGCATTGACCATCATTATACACGTAGAGGATTACAACAAGTTTTCGATGTTGAAAGAACTGGCATTAATAATGGAACAAGATTGAGAGAAACTGCAGTCGTCCGTGTTGTAAACCCAGAAGAGACTCCAATGAGAGCCATTTTACAAGGAACAGTCAACCGTATCAATGGAGAAATCATTACTTACAACTACAGAATCCATGCTACTGGTAAGTTAATCTTTAAGACAAGAAATTGAAGAAATTTCATAATTATCATTTAGATTACACAAACTATGCCATCGTTTGGTCTTGCGTTGATCTCGAGAACAACAGATCACGCGAAGAAGGTTCAATTGTTGGACGTTCTACACAATTGACACCAGCAGTTTATGCTAAAGTTGATGCTCTTCTTTTAGAAATTGGATTGAACAGAGAAGATTTCAGATTCATTGATCATTCTCCTGAAGCGTAAGTTAATGATTTAAAAACTTAAAGATCTTTAAACTGATTAATTGATTTCTTTTATTAACAGCTGCAACCTTCTTTAAATGAAAATCAAAGTCATTAAGTATGAAATAAAAAATTAATTTTTTAAAAAACTAGATTTGAAGTTGAGTTTTATTTATATGTAGCATATACTTTAGATTATAGCGTATTAGAGCAGGATATGAATGATGGAATTTAATCTATATTATCAGTTGTTATTGTTAATAAGTAATGTTTCGTTCAAATATTCTGTAAGGTTTGAAAAGAGTGATTCTCAAACTTTTTGCTGAGTTTTAATCATTTAAAAAAAAAACCCCTAACAAACTGACATAAATTATTAATCATACGGTATGCAACCAGTAAAACTTCTCATAATCATCCTTCATTAAACTCAATTTACATTTTAATTTATTCAAAAAAATCTTCAGATACGAATCTCAAGTCTTAGAATTAAATAAAATTTGTAACGAATCAATCAAATCTAATTATAGAGCATTATGAGTTCTTTAAGGCTAGAATATTCAAATTCATTAATAAACCAAAGAATAATAAAAAAAAAAATTCTTACACATCAAACATGCACAGCATGCGTCAAAAATGAGAGATGAAGTGTAAAAACTTAATCTTGAATTATGATGAATCAAAGTGACAGTCACTGTTTTAGTTTTCATTGAACAGCCTTCTTCGTGTTTGCGTTATCTTTGTGCTCTGAATTTTCAATCTTTAATTTTAAGGGATTTATGAATTTCTTTGTAAGGGAATTAGAGATGAAAGGTTTAATAGTCTATGTAAAATAAGCTAGAAGTAAGCGCATTTATGGAGTTAAGCTTCTATGTTGGGCACTTTTGTGTCCTAACCTTTCAAAAAATTGGAATAGGGTTCTATTAGAATAGGACTAGTTTGCAGTTTCAGGATGTTTTTCAAATAAATTGTGCATCATTTTTTTACTTGAACTAGATCCCTAAATTTCAAATCTTCACGTCACATCAATTATCTACTCATCTTGCTTGAAAAACAAGCTCAAAGCGATCATATAAATACTTACATAATAAATTAATAACAACGCATTAATCAAATATTCATTCTGTATGTAAAATTAATCGTGTGATCTTCATCATCAATGTAAAATTTATTTCGAAAGATATCCAAAGAACAGTATGTCTCAGTATGATTGTAACAACAAAAGAGAATATTTTTGTGATCTCGAGAATTATTCCTCCGTTCAGCGATTCCAAGAATGAGATCTCTTTCTCGAATAAAATGAATAGAAGACAGAAGGATCTAATTGAATGTCATTAAGATTATGTGAAATATATTATTTTCTTGTCAAATTTATCGAATCTATTCATCGGCATGTTTTATGGTAAACAACTGACTGACAACAAAGAATGAAGCATGAAGAATGGAAATGGAAATTGAGAGAATGAGGAAGATAAAACGAAGAGATTTTGGAAGGTAAACGATGAGTCAGATTTATAGAACAATGATGTCAATTTCTTTCTGTGTTTAGTCTAGCATTTTTTGTGGATTATGTGGACATGAAATGCATTGTGTTCTGGATATCTAATAAGTTTCTGAATAGATTCTTATATTCTTTTGAGATTGAGACTTTCGTATTTCTTTTAACATTTCCTTTTGATTGTTGGTAATAAATAAATAGAAACAGTAAAATTATAAATACAGTTAAATTTGAGATTTTAAAAACATTAAAATGTATGGAAGGATTAAAATGAACTTAGCAAGTTTAAAAACAATTTTCTCGTGACATAAATTTTTTCAGATATATCTTGCTTAAACCACTTTTAGTTCAATGATATTTTAAGATATTTAACACAGTTTGACAAACTTTTTTATGTCTCCAAGCACGTAGCACTTCAAACCATCCACAGTTCCTGGAAAAACGCAAAATAATTGAGCAAGTACGAAAAGTGCTCGTTGCTATGTAAGCGCTCTAATTTCTTTGAGTTTTTAATATGTAATTTATGACGTCATTCTTTATAAGTCTTTATTTATGGATGAAAGAAAATCTGAGATTTTGTAACACTTTGAACAATATGAATGATCCAACTTCGAGATCTAAGTTCAGAAGATTTTTTCCAAAGATGTAGAACTCCTCAATCATTTTCAAACAGCCAAAAAGTCTATAACAAGTAAAATAAAACTTGGAAAATGTGCGGATGTTCAAAAAGTGTGTGTACAATATTTAAAAGATAACTAGGCTATCTGATTACGTAGTGAACCTGTTTTTCTTTCTGAAACCAGACCCACTTCTCGGAAAATGACGATATTTTTTATTAATAAACTACTTCCATGCTCAACTTAAAGTTTCGTTTTTTATGTAAGTTGCCATTTTTTGAATAAAACTTATCTATATTGTCTCTGTATAGTAGAACGGCATGGAATTTCTATACCTTATTTCACGCACAGTTGTTTGCGGCACATTGAACTGTATAAATTAGGATTTTATTTCGTTTCTCGTCAGTCATTATCGACATTTCATTAAAATGATATTTGGATATTATTTGATACTATTGTTCATCCTTAATGGTGAGTAAGACTTTTTGGTGTAAAAGTGTTGGAATATTATTTTAAAAATTATTTTATAGGATTGAATGCATTAGATTTAAATCCCACATCAAAAAACTTGACAGTTCCTGAAAACTTAGAAGACTTTTTGTCAAAGTATGTTAAAAAAGAAAAAAGCCAATCAAAAACACCAAAATTGCAAATCTCGAGTGGACGTAGAGCTTACGATACACAATTTCCATATGTTGCTGATTTGATAATTGTTGATGGTGCAACTGGAGCGAGAACCCTTTGTTCAGCCTCTTTGATTGCAACAAACTGGTTGTTGACTGCAAAAAACTGCATACCGTAAGTGATCTTTTTTCAATTCAATACATTAAAAATGCTAATAATTCTGTTTAATGGTTAAGCTCGAATATCAAAAGCATTCTTGCAATATTTGGATCAGCAGACAGACAAAGTTCCACAAAAACTAGAATTTTTGTAAATCATGTTAGTTTTGCGGGCGCACCAGATGTAGCACTTCTTCGTCTTGAAAAAAGTGTTACATTAAGTAGCACAATTAAATTAATTCGACTTCCTGGTATACCGAAAGAAAATTTTGGATATGATTTATATGACATAACTGCCATTGGTTGGGGAGGTAAATTGACAAATTATATTTTGAGATAGTCTTAATTATAATTAATGTTCTTATATCTTTTATCTCGCAGCTACTTCAAGTGGAGTTTCACGTTATTTACAGTTTGCTAATTTCAAAATACTTCCAAAAATTAGATGCAATTTCAGTCCACATACATTCTGCTCGTTTTCATATAATGGAGGATCATCATTAAAGGCTGGCGATTTCGGTAAAAATTAGTATGCAGCTTTGAAAATATTAAGACTAATTAAAATTAATTTCTTATGTTTAGGTGGTCCTGCAGTTATAATTGACTCTGATGGGATTGAGACTTTAGTTGGAATAAATGCTGCAACTTCTGCAACGAACGAAGGAGTTTATCAAATAATGACAAGAGTTTCAAGCTTACTTCGATGGATTCAATTAACGACTGGAGTCGTTTACCAACCAGATAGTATGGTGGTTCCAAAGGGATATCAATCAAATTGTATATCTCCTGGATCATCATTATTTTCTGCAAGTGGCTGTTACGGTTTGCTTTTCCAAACTGATGGAAATGTTGTAATTTACTCGAAAGCTAAAGCAGTAATTTGGGCTACGAATACAAGTGGCAAGAAAGCCACTAATTTCTGCATTCAGTCAGATGGAAATCTTGTCTTGTACAATGGCCTTACTCCTGTTTGGAATTCAAGAACAAATATGTATCCTGGTGCATATGCAAAACTTCAAGCTGATGCAAGTTTGGCAATTTTTAAAGCTGGAACTACAACATCACCAGTTTGGAGATCTAAGGCTTTGACAACCTTTCCCAACCAATGTTAAAATTTTTTTTATCAATTTACTTTCCAAAAAATTAATTTTTGCATGCTGAAAATTACTTTGAGTTGAACTCAATTGCTTAAAAATCTTAAAAAAATAAACTTTTGTAAAACTTAAAATCATTTAATAAATTTTTTGATTTTTTTTTAATTGATTTAAAACTTTGACACTTGAATTACTTCAAAAGCATTCAGTTCACTTTAATACCAAACTATTCGCAGCTCTTCAAACAATGACAACAAACTGGTATTTTTAATAAATAGATCATATAAAGTAAATTAATGACATACTTAATAATTGAAAAACATATGGCAATAAACTAATGACGATAAAGTATTCATTCATAAATACTCTTGACAACAGAGGTTTGCAAAGGATATTTAAAGCTAATTGTTTCTACAGATGAAATCATGTCTAAAGCTATCGTGAGGTAAAATCGAGCTTTCTAGGGAAAACATCAAGAAATCTCTAAAAGTCTATTTTGAGACTAATTTGATCAGCAATTGATTTGTATTTTGTATGGACATGAACGAAAGAAGAAAACGTTATTATTAAATTTGGTCTTAGTTTCTAAACCTTACTTGCCTGGTTGTCTAAGTGAAAGATACAACCTAATTGCCTTAGACATATGCAAAACCAGGACAAAACTATACGATAGAAAAGCACAAAGCTTAAAAATGTGGAAATTATTTCATGAAGATTATGGTAACTTTGTAATTTACAAAGCAAGATTTTCAGGCCAAAAAATACAATTTGGTCGTCTAAGACTTCAATAACTGGAACAATAAAATGTTAAATATTGGAAAGTTTTAGAGAAGCTTTAAAAAAATCGTTCTAAAATTTTTAAAGGAAAATAAAAGGAAATTTTTGAGAATAATTAATTTCCCGTTTAAATGACGGAAAAAACACACTAACCTATATTCTACTTACTTTATATTGCATAATATTTTTTGCAACCTTTAATTTAATTATTTTCAGCTCTTCAAATAGTAATACCTGAAAGATAAATTTCATGTTGAAGTAAAAATAAAATAAATAAAAGCCTTAAAAACCGTATGTTATTCCTGGAATACTTCGTAATAGTAATAATTATTTTTATCAAATGGAATTTGAAGCATACTCCTTTTATTCAATGTCAAATAAAAGTATCGAAAACAAGTTGTTGAAAAATATTTGCTTTACAACACGTAGCTCATATTGAACAACGTGTATTTTCTGTATTTGAAACAGGAGCAATTAAAAATTAATCCTATCCCCAATGTCCTTAGTTCTTAATTTATCATAATTTTGTAGCTTTTATGAAAGTATTTTAAGCGTTATTTGTGAAAATATTGACCAAATTTAGATATTAATATCATTTAAAGATTGTTTTAAAGTTTGTTAAATTAATATTGAATCAACTGCGATAAAAATAACAAAATAAGTTTAAAATAAGCGTACGTGAGAAATTTAAGCCTTAGAGAACCATATGCTTTTCCAGGAAAATGACGACTTAATTATTATTGTAAAACTTCCATGCTTCAATTGAGCATGTCTGACAAAAATGATTTTTTCAATTTAAAGAAAATAATGTTATCCTTAATTCAGCTAAACCTTAGATTAAATACAGTTGCTTTATGCAGAAGCTCTTCTATTTTAGAAATATGCTTTATCTTATTAAGGATGTTAGGAAACCTCAATCAGCGTGGAATTTTACGAATTTATTTTATAATCCCCACCCTTACCTTTATAAAAACTACTATAAATAATGTACAAAACTGTTATCTTCTTATCAGTCTGTACCGATACTTTATCAAGATGAAACTTTGCTTCTGCTTAATTAGTTTGTCGCTATTCTGCTTTGGTATGAAGATTTAAATTTCAAACTCCTTATTTTTCTAGAATAATTTTTTTTCTTCCCTAATTGAACAGTATCAGCAGATTCAGGCGAAGAAACTTCAACTTTTGAAATAACAGGAAATCCAGAAAATGTCGAAGACTTCGTCTTTAAAGGAAAAGAATTAAAATTAAAAGGACCAAGATTACAAATCTCAAGTGGAAATCAAGCTAGTGACACACAATTCCCATATGTTGCTGAGTTGGCAATTAATACAGCTACTGGTGGATTTTTATGCACTGGTTCATTGATTGGACGTAATTGGATCTTGACTGCAAAGCATTGTATTGAAGGGTACGTGTAACTTTAAAACTTTTAAAGGAGTTCTTAAACTGATAAATTTAAACTTCAACAGAAAAACAGTTACATCAATTCGCGCATCTTTGGGATCAGCAGATCGTCAAGGCACAAGAACTCAAATATTAGTAAAAGCTGTTTCTTATACAGTTTCTGCTGATATAGCTTTATTCCGTCTTGAAACAAGTGCACCAATCAGTGATACTATTAAAACTGTCCGTATTCCTAAAATCACAAGAATATTTTCTAATTTTGAAAACTACGATTTCACTGCTATCGGATGGGGAAGTAAGTATTGATCTCTTTCCATTTTTGAATTGCTTACATTTATTTGAATAAATTTCAGTGGTTTCTCCTGGCGTATTTTCCCGTTTCTTACAATATACAAACTTCAAAACACTTCCATCTGCAAGTTGCCCACTCGTCAATGTTGGTCAATATTATTTATGCAGTCAACCTCCTACTGGAACTTCCCAACTTTTGGGCGGTGATTCCGGTAAGTTATTTTTAATAAATCAACATTTGTTCAGTCCTTAATTAAATTCTAAAATCTTACACAGGCGGTCCTGGAGTTATTGTTGAAACTGATGGAATTGAAACTCAAATTGCTGTAAATGTCGCATATGTCACCTCTGGAACCAACATTTGGCAAAAATCAACAAGAGTTTCAAACTTCTTGGTTTGGATTTTCACTCAAACTGGAATCATCTATATCTAACATGCTTACAGTGTTAAAATTGTTGAAATTTTGTGGAAAATAAATTGAATTAATTTTCTGACAGCATTAATTATGACTAGTTTATTCTGAAATTCTGTTTTGTCGTTAAAATTGGACATTCATTTTTTGAAAACCCCTTTTATTTTCCAATAATAAATTTTCCTTTTGAAATAAATGAAATAACTGCAAAATATAAAATAAATAAAGATAAATTGAGGCTTGTGTCCCTTGTAACAGCTGATTATATACATTTTTTAAACATATGTCATTCCAATTATATTGATAGGGGAGTTATTATAAATTTTTATGCTTTTAATCAGACATTATTGAATTTTTCGATTTAGTTTTAAGAACATGTCCTGATTTCAGCTCTGAAAAAGCGAGAAAAACCAAATTTTTAAGCATTTTCCGAGAAATGGTTTTAAAAACGAACATCATGAATTTTAGGTGAGACTTGGCTCAAAAAAACGGAACTGTCCCTCTAAAAAGTGTGCAGTTGGCAGTCTTTTTATGTTGAATGCTGCTACGAACGCTAAATGAGACATAGAAAATGAAGAACCAATAATCCAAAATTTTAAACATTTGCAAAAGAATTTCTTCATTATTCAAGAATTTGAAGTCTCTGAATGCAATATTTTAGAGATGAAAATCGAATTGAAATATTTGCGTACCTTGTATCACGTACTCATCCTATAGACAAACAATTTTGATATTTTAAAAACACTTTTAGTGACGTATTTTGTTTTTCTACAAAAGGAATTTATAAAACACTCCTTTCATTTAATGACATCTAAAAAAATATTGAAACCAAGTTGTTGAATTGAAGCACGTAGCTCACATTATACCACGTGCATATACAAGCAATTGATGAGTTGGTTAACATGAGTATTTTTTATCCTTATTCATTACAAACAAAATCCTGGTCAATTTCTGCCTTCTTATTTAATTGACTAGGCTATTCCGGAGAGTCTATAGCGCCCGTTATCAGGGTTTAAATTTGATTCCTATTTTGTAAATAACTGTAAGACGCAAATAACCAAAATGTTTTTAGTGCCAATCCTACCAGAAAACTTCACATGGCTTCACAAATCCCCTCGAACTTGGACTCACCTTACACCACATTGACACCCACCCCGCACCTGACACCCAACACTTTCTCAAATAATTGGCTTCACACGACTTCACAAATGGCTTCAACGGCTTCCGTTCTAGAGTCAGGGAGGGAATTCGGTGTTTGTCTTATAGATTTTTAACATTTATTTATTATGATGATTAAGTTGCTTATTATGGTTCTTGATTTTACTGAGCTTATTGATTGTATCTGCATCATTTATAAGGTAGACTTCGTATTCAATGAGATCCTGTGGGTCAGATATTCAAGCGACAAGAACATTTTATTTATAACCAAATAAAGATTGAAATGAGGCTCGCGCAGATTACAATCTTTAAGTAATCCCATACAAAGATTATAATCTTCGTTTTTAAGAGATTATAATCTGCGGGAGCCTTGAAAATGATGCATATTTTCTAATAAATAATAGATGGAAAAGAGTGTGAAATTTTCTTTTTAATGGACGACATATGAGACTTTGCAAGTGAAAATGAGACTAACATTTTTTTTAGTTTTGGCTTAATAAAACCAAGAATCTGCATAAAAACTATGGCATATTATATATTTTCGGAAAGCTCTTGATTTCAGCTACATGAATTTTTAAAACAAACTTAATTATATTAACAAGGGTTGGAATCCTAAGGGTTTTAAACTGTTGATCTACATACAATTTGGTACGTCACACTGTGCCCTGTTCCTTAAAGGAAACAACTATATATTAAGTGAATTAGATTAACAAAACAACATATTAATAGACAACAGAGAGATTTTTTCGTTATCTTTTCTTGATTTTTTTTTATGAGTTATCAAACCTTGGTGATTTTTCTATCTGATTTTTTTTTTAAATGCTCTAGCTCATCCAAATTTTCAAGTATTTTAATTATTTAAACGCCGTTTATCTTATTTTTTATTTACCTATATCTTGACGCTCAGAAAACGTCCAAGGGTTGGACACTTTGTCAAAATAAAAAACCAACCCTTGGATTTTTTTATTATTTTTTATGTTTAAACTATTAAAACTAAGAACTTTAAACTTATAAATAAGTTATAATCATTATTTAATTAAAATAACTTTGTGTTTTATCAAATCAACCCTCAATAAAACGGAAAAATTTAAAAAATTTTTTTAAATATTTTGATAAATTCATTACCTTACTACAATTAAATTTTGAATTATTAATATAATAACATGAATGGAACAAAAATATTTTTTACAAAAATTAAAATTTAACGTTAAATACAAATTTAATGTAATGCAAACAAATTTTTTTTAATTTTTCCGTTTTATTGAGGGTTGATTTGATAAAACACAAAGTTATTTTAATTAAATAATGATTATAACTTATTTATAAGTTTAAAGTTCTTAGTTTTAATAGTTTAAACATAAAAAATAATAAAAAAGTCCAAGGGTTGGTTTTTTATTTTGACAAAGTGTCCAACCCTTGGACGTTTTCTGAGCGTCAAGATAAAGGTAAATAAAAAATAAGATAAACAGCGTTTAAATAATTAAAATACTTGAAAATTTGGATGAGCTAGAGCATTTAAAAAAAAAATCAGATAAAAAAATCACCAAGGTTTGATAACTCATAAAAAAAAATCAAGAAAAGATAACGAAAAAATCTCTCTGCTGTCTATTAATATGTTGTTTTGTTAATCTAATTCACTTAATAAATAGTTGTTTCCTTTAAGGAACAGGGCACAGTGTGACGTACCAAATTGTATGTAGATCAACAGTTTAAAACCCTTAGGATTCCAACCCTTGTTAATATAATTAAGTTTGTTTTAAAAATTCATGTAGCTGAAATCAAGAGCTTTCCGAAAATATATAATATGCCATAGTTTTTATGCAGATTCTTGGTTTTATTAAGCCAAAACTAAAAAAAATGTTAGTCTCATTTTCACTTGCAAAGTCTCATATATGAATGAGCCTGAAAACGTCTACCAAAACAGTTTTTTTTATTGAAGGACTCAATTTTTGGACTGCTTGAACAATTTATGACATAGTTTGAGGTTTAAAGCTCAAAAATAGTCGATGGAGTTCAAAAGTAAGACTTGAAAAGATTAGATCCTTTCTTTCAATAAATTTGTTGGACGATCTCTTAAACTTTAAAGCATGCTTCAACATTATACAATTTTAAACCATTCAGAACTTTAAAGAATGGTTTAAAATTTATCAAAGTTATGAAATTCATTTTGGCTGATATGAAGACATACGTGTAAAAAATAAGCGTACGTGAGAAACATAAACCTTAGTAAAAACCATATGCTTTTCTTAGAAAATGACGGGATAATTATTTTGTTGAAACTTCCATGCTGTAATTTAGTATTTTTAATTTTTTGAACAAAAAATCTGTGTAAGTTCAGAACAAAAAAGTTATGCTTAGTCCAATTTTTTAAAAATGCCTTGTATCTTAAAATTCAGCTGTCAGATGCAATCATTGAAAGTCAGTATGATTTGTGATGCTGCATTTAATCATTAGCTCATTAATGCACTATCGATGTAAAGAAAAAGGTAGAAAATAAAAATTTTTTGAAGGTCCTCAATTTATTACAATTATGCTTTATCTCAATTGAGTTGCTAAGAAGCCCTCAATTAGCGTGGAATTTCCAACAATTATTTTTTTTACTCCCACCTTAATTTTAATTGACTGTAATTTAATCCTATAAATATAGAAAATTATTATCAACTCATTAGTCTATATCGACACTTAATCAAGATGAAATTCTGTTTCTGTTTAATTACACTTTCGCTAATCTGCTTTGGTAAGAAGATACCAAATAAAAAAATCATTCATTTCAATAACATAATTTATTTATTACTTTAATTGAACAGTATCAGCAGGTTCAAGCGAAGAAACTACAACTTTTGATATAACTGGAAATCCAGAAAATATTGAAGACTTCGTCTTTCAAGGAAAGGAAACAGCTTCTAAAGGACCAAGATTACAAATCTCAAATGGACGTCAAGCTACTAACACACAATTCCCATATGTTGCTGAGTTGGCAATTAATACAGCTACTGGTGGATTTTTATGTACTGGTTCATTGATTGGACGTAATTGGATATTGACTGCAAGACATTGTATTGCTGGGTAAGTTTGACTTTTAAATGAGTCTTCAAACTGACAAAAGTTGTATTATTTCCAAAAGTAAAACCATCACATCTATTCGTGCATCTTTGGGATCAGCAGATCGTCAAGGTGCAAGAACTCACATTGCAGTCGTTTCCGCTACATACATAAATGCTGCTGATGGAGTTAATCATCCTGATATAGCTCTTTTCCGTCTTGCACAAAATGCACCAATTACAGCTACTATCAAAACTATTCGTCTCCCTAAAATGTCTAAAGCAAACTTTGCTTACGATAATTATCAATTTACTGCAATTGGATGGGGACGTAAGTGTCAAAAATCATTCCTTCATTGTTGTTATCTAATTCTATAATGAATTTCAGTGGTTTCTCCTGGCGTATTTTCACGTTACTTACAATATACATTCTTCAAAACTCTTCCAAAAACAAGCTGCTTACCCGTTAATACAGGAATATATTATATGTGCAGTAAGCCACCAACTGGAACTTCACAACTTTTGGGCGGTGATTCCGGTAAGTTACATTAAATCAACATTTTTAGTCCTTAATTTAATTTTTTTTCACAGGCGGTCCTGGAGTTATCGTTGAAGCTGATGGAATTGAAACTCAAATTGGTGTTAATGTTGCATACGTCACCTCTGGAACCAACATTTGGCAAAAAACAACAAGAGTTTCAAACTTCTTGACATGGATTAAAACACAAACTGGAATCTCTTATGTCTAACCTGCTGGCAGTGTTACATTTTGTTCCAATCCAATTAAAACTTTTGTAAAAATAAATTGATTTTTTTTTGGCCAATAAAGTAAAGTAATTTTTAAAAAGCATTAAATCTTCTTGTTTATTTTAAAATTAAGTTATTTACACATTAGTCAAAAAGTTGGGGAAATATAAGAAATTAAAATAAATGAAGGCTTGAAATTTGTATTAATATAAACTATTAATGACTGATTATATGAGACTTTAAGAAACATATGTCATTCCTAAATAATGACGAGGTATTTGTCATGTGATAAATACCCCGCTTTCAATCACGTCATCAACTTGAAGAAAAACAGTTGAATGTTTTAAATAGCAAGTTTCAGCATATAAAAGCTGTAAAAGCAGTAAATTAGTAACTTATTGGTAAGTTTCTGCAATATTTTCAGTAAATAGAAATCTAATACGAAGGAATCACGGAGGATATCGCAGTAATAGCCTCGCATCAAATTATTGTTCAATTTTCTTGGATTTTCTCGATTTTCTTAAATTAGTCCTAAAAAGAAAAAGGATGCTAAGTCTCTGATGCGATCTGCTAGTCAACGCTTGTTTAATACCGATAAATGCACTATTTTTTGTCGTATTTATAATTCAAAAGGTAAATTCACATAATTCTCACATGATTGAATAATTGAATAAATACGAAAGTAAGTCAATAGATATTAAATTCAAAATCATAAAACTATAAAGCTTAGCAAAAAAAGGTTGCAATTTCACATCTTTTAAAAGAACCATTCGTTTGGATGTTGGTAAGAACATTATAATGTCCTTATCTTGGATACTCAACTATAGAAAATAGTTTTCAATAAATTAATCGTATGATGAATTTATCAGAGCTATGAAATAAAAAAAAATGAGTTTATATAACGGAACACGTGTAAAATAAACTAAGAAACGCAAGCCTGATAAAAACCATGTGTTTTCCTAGAAAATGACGGGATAAATATTTTGTCCTAACTTCCAGGCTCAAACTTTAAGATTTCTAATTTTTTGAACAAAAAAACTTTATAAGTTCAGGACAAGGATTTTATCCTTATTTCAACATTTTTATTTATGGAAAAAAATAGTTTAAAGATTATTAAAATATTTCTCATATTTCTACAAAATAATGATTTTTACCTCAAAACTCAGTTGCTAGATGAACTCAGAAGTAATTAAATGTGACAAGGAACTAATCAGTCCTACTTACTTCTTAATGCTCTAGTAATTTGTCAAATTTCTTAATAAATGCTTTAAAAAAAAGAGGATTCTTAGGTTTCGAAAGATGCTTTAAGGCATTATATATTTTTGGCAGATCTACACTAGCGTGGAATTTTTACAACAATTTTTATTTCCCCCACCCTAATTTCGATTGATACTATAAAAAAAAAAATTATCATATTCTCATCAGTAAGTATCGACACTTTATCAAGATGAAACTTTGCTTTTGTTTAATTACATTGTCACTGATCTGCTTGGGTAGGAACATATAAATTTCAGACTATTTGTTTTATTGAATTTTTTTTTCCTTTTCAACGTACAGCATCAGCAGATTCAAGCCAAGAAACCGGGTTTTTGGAAATAACAGGAAATCCAGAAAATGTCGAAGACTTTGTCTTTAAAGGCAAAGAATTTAAATTGAAAGGAAAAAGATTACAAATCACAAGTGGAAATCAAGCAAGTAACTCACAATTCCCATATGTCGCTGAGTTGGCAATCAATACAATTACTGGTGGATACAAGTGTACTGCCTCATTGATTGGAGCTAGTTGGTTGTTGACTGCAAGACATTGTATTGTTGGGTAAGCATAACTATTAACAACAAAAATTTCAACTGACTTATTTTTAATTATCTACAGAATGCCACAAATTACATCAATCTTAGCATCATTTGGATCAGCAGATAATCAAGCTCAAAGAACTCAAATTTATGTGAACTCTGCTACTTGGATGAATGCTGCTGATGGAATTAATCATCCTGATATAGCTTTGTTCCATCTTTCACAACCCGCACCAACAACTGCAACAATTAAACCCGTTCGTCTTCCTAAACTTGCACAAGAAAACTTTGCTTATGACAATTATGACTTCACTGCTATTGGATGGGGACGTAAGTATAGTGACTTAATAATTTTACTTATTTTTTCAATGGTTCTTATAAATTTCAGAGATATCACTTGGAGTATTTTCACGTTACTTGCAATACACAAACTTCAGAACTTTGGCACCAACAAGCTGCTTCTTAGGTCAATATTATATGTGCAGTCAACCACCAACTGGAATTTCACAACTTTTGGGCGGTGATTCTGGTAAGTTATTTTTATTTTAACATTTTTTCAGTCCTTAATTAAATTATAAAATCTTTCACAGGCGGTCCTGGAGTTATTGTTGAAGCTGATGGAATTGAAACTCAAATTGGTGTTAATGTTGCATACGTCACCGCTGGTACAAGTATTTGGCAAAAATCAACAAGAGTTTCAAACTTTTTGCAATTTATTAAAACTCAAACTGGAATCTCTTATTAAATATCATTTTATAAAATTGTTGAATTTTTGTTTGAATCAAAATAAAGTAAAGTAAATTTGTGACCACATTAAATTATCTTAGTTTATTCTGAAATTCTGTCATCTCATTCTGATGAAATACAAATTGTCTGATAAGCTCTTAACTGCTGAATTAAGTCGAGTCTGAATAAACACAGATATCGATTCAAAAATCTATAGACCTAAGAATAATTTATCGATTTTATATGGAATTTCACAAATTTAATAATTATTTCTTATCGCAATTGAATTGATATTATCTGAACGAAAACTATGTGTCTGTTTTGGCACTTGTACGATATGGAATTTTGTTTTTGTTTAATTTTAATTTTGGTGTTTTACTTGACTAGGAAGATATAAAAAATTCCAGACTCTTTGTTTTACTAAAAAAACACAATTTAATTTTACCTGTTTTATACAACAGAAAGGTCCACAAAGTATACTGTGTGGGTCTTGTGGATTAATAAGCTTCCCTGCAATATGTGAAATTTTTAATAATTGATTTTTTTGACATCCAAAATTATTTATTTCCATTTCTTAATAATTAACAATAAGAATTCTATACAGTTGGAAACAAATAAGAAATAACAAACCGAACATAAGAATAGGAAAGAATTGAAAAATACCCAAATCTTATGGACAATTGGAATCCTTTTCTGTTTATTTTCTATCCATTCTCTTTCTTCTTTACCACAAAATAGAATTTCTTGTTTGATTTTCACAAGTTTTGTTACGCATTTTAAACATTTAGTACCTGTTAAGGAGGTGCCTATTGGATAGAAATCAATTATCTGTAAGAATTATTCTACTTTTAAATGGGATTAAATGTATGGTTATTAGTTGAATAGGCAGGTTCTAATTGAGTTTGGAATTCCTGTGATTTGTTTATTTTAGAAGATTTAAATTGATTTTTAGTCTTATGAATTTTCGCAGCTATTTTCTGATTTTTTTTTCAACCATTTTCTCCAACTTGGAGAAATTGACGGATCCTAGTTGAAGTTTTTGTCATTTGAATCACTCAGGTTGAGTTGTACTGCAATAAAACGGTTAAACCCGCATTGAAATCTTCAAAACTAATTTCCATATGAAGATCAAGTTCAAAGAATTTATTTCATAGCTACAAAGTTACCCGTAAGCTTCAAATTCTTAAAAGAGAGAATACAGTCAGCCATAAAAGAGCGCGAGAGAGCCAACCACTATCAAGAGAGAATTTTAAATGAAAACAAAAGTATTTTATGCGAAAACAGCATGCGATAGATAGAGAGAGGAAATTTACAGCAGTTAACTTAATGCACCGCATGATGCAAGAAATTCTGTTATGATGACAAGATTTTTTACGATCGTGACTCATTGTTGGGAGTAATTTTTATGTGATTCTGCGAAAATTAAGTTTGATTCTGAATAAAAATTGCTCATCATTATGAACTTGTTCCTAATACATTTTACCTGCGTCACTCACTGACTTCGCTTTGTTTTTACAAATATTTTTGATAATACAAATCACACAAAAGCTGGTGATTCATAAATTATTTTTACTTTCCATTGTAAAAATGAGCAAACACATGCGCTCAATTGTAGATAAGATAGCATTGTACAGCACATAAGCTCGGAAATCGACTTGCTTAGTTTTATTTCAATTGTTGAATAATTCAGTTCAGAACAGCAATAACTTACAAATTATTTTTAATAAAATGGCTTCAATTCCGGTCTATAAGCCTCAAACACCGTTTTTAGGGATAATTCCTGGTGGATTTCAACATAGTTTAATGATTAGAGTGAAGGGAAAGATGACGTCAAAGAGGGGAAGGTAAGAAATTGACTTACACTTAATTTTAATTATTTTGAGCTCCCATACACAATCTAAGATTTCTAATAAACCGTTTGAACCTTTAAAGATGCTCAATTGATTTCGTCAACACACCAGCACTCAAAGTCGACCAAGACATAATGTTCCACATGAGTATTCGAATGGACGAGAAAGTCATTGTTCGAAATTCATTTAAAAATAGAAGATGGGAAATGGAAGAACGATATGGAGCATTTCGTATCAGCTATAAAGATCCATTTGAAATTGTGATACTTGCCGAACACGCACACTATAAAATAGCAGTAAATGGTGTTCATCTTGGAGTGTTTCGTCATCGGCTTCCATTAAATTTAGTGCAATACATTCAAGTTAAGGGTGACGTAGAAATCGAACACATTTTGATGGAACAAGATATAAAATCAGCACAGGAACAAGCTGCTTTGGGATATATGATCAATAATGCAATGATGCAACAAAATACATCAACAAAATATAGAATTGCAACGACACAAGTTGTTCAACCAGCATCGACAACTTATGTTGTGTCTAGTACTACAAGAGCATATCCTTCATCTTCCGTTTTTCCTATAACATCGGCCACAGTTTATCAAGCACCAACGACGGCTCCGGTTTATCAAGCACCCACAGCTGTCTATCAAGCGCCCACAAGTGCGCCTTTGTATCCACCACAACCAGCTCCAGGATATCAGCAACAAGCAAATCATGTTTATCCGCAATTACCAGGTCAACAAATTGGTGCAAGTTATTCATCAGCACCGGCATATCCACCTTCACAGGCGTTCCCAACAGCCCCTCCACCACCAGCTTATCAAGAAAATTCACAATCAGCTACAGTTCCTGATGATCCACCACCTGCTTATGAATCAAATGCGCCACAGCAACAACAAAATTCAGTTTGGGTATATAAGTATTAAATTTTCGTTTGCTTTTGTGCTGTTCCTGTTCCTCATATTAGACTGACAATAGACTTTGGAATCTTAAATTTCTCAGACTATGCACATGTAGAGTATACCAAAGCTTCATTTTTTGCATTTTGACTATAATTGTTAAGAATTTACATACTCTATGAAAACATATTTATCATCTGTCACTAATTGTTCACTAAAGCTTTATATAGACTCAATATTAAATAAAAATAAAGACTAAATCTAATTAAACAAAACCTTTTTCTATCGTTTTTGTAGCTAGCGACACCATTTTTCCAAGTTGAAAGGCAGCCAGACAAATTGGTTTTTAAGACAAAAAATAGTGAAAAGAGTATGAAGCTTTAAAGCTGTGAAAATATTGTAACGTTTTTTTGGAGTAGAACGTCAAATAAGTAGCTTAAGAAACTTTTTGATGTAATTTGTCAAATATTTTACTATTTTTGAACTTCGTTACAATGACATAAGAGGTTACAATTTAAGACATATGGATGATTTTGAGCAGCTTTTATTGTAAATGTAAATACAACAAAATATAAATGTTGACTCATAACAATAAAGCAGTTATCACATCGAGGCAATGTTATATATATATTTCATATCAATAATGTAAATAATCTTTAATGTTTGTTTATAGTAAGTTATGGATGTATTGTTATTCTGATGTTTTTGCCTCAAAAAAGAAATAAAAATTTTATCTTTAAATTTTACTATTTATCACGTAGCTTTGTTAATATTTACGGAAGAAACATTTATTTCACCATCAAGGGATTCTTACTTTTCTTTTATCACATGGAGCTACACATGATAACGGAGATTACTTTGTGAGTCACTATGGTATTTAATGTCTTAGGTGACAAACAAAAAAGCTCTGAGATACAGAGTTTCTTAAATTTTGATGATTTCCCAATTGTAAGCTCAAAATGTCAATTTAATTCGCAAATTTCATCTCCAACAGCTCCGAGTAAGCAGTCATTGACCTTGACAATCATAACAAATTCAAACTGACGTTGATTGAATAAAATACTCAATTAACCATCAAAATCAATTGACTGGCTAAATCAATACATTTAATTCCATTGTAATTAATATTTTTTTTGCAGTTGCTTGTAATAAAGAAAAATTGTGTTCTTCAGTAAATAATAAACAACACAGAATCAGGAAATTGTTTTATTAAAACCAATAAGTGGCCTTCATCAGGTGTTTAAAATTGAGTACTTAACTCGGAATAAAAATTATGGTCTTTAAGCAAGTTTCAGGTAGTTTGCGGTCAAGATAAGCTCATCAATCAATTATTTATGATCTCAATAAGGAGATAAAGAATCGATATTGGCACTTGATTTGACTTGTGGAATGTTCGGAATGGAATTTTAGATTTTAAGAGTTGAAAGCGTGAATTTTGGACGATGGACGCAAGAGGATCATGAATTTATTCTGAATTTAAATTAAATTGCATCAAACCTGTTTTTTTGGATCTTAATTGGAGAAGTTTTAAGCAACATATTCCTTCTGTGCTTCCATACTAATTACAAAACAGTTCTAGATGAGTAAATCTAGATGTATTCAAAATAGTATAAATGGAAGTTTATTTAAAATTTAATTATTGTGTTCCAGATTGCTTTTAAATAGGTCAATTACCAGTCAATTCATTTCAATCGAGATTTTGTGTATATTTTTTATTGCGTAGGTCAGTCTAATTAATCAGAAAATTGATGAATATAAAAATTGATGTAAAGCAAACAAAACCTTGAATAATTTTCGATTGGATATTAGGAAATGAGAATAATTGACATTGATAAAATTGTGAGCAACAGATTTAAATAGAAAAAGCCTAATAGAAGCCTCCATTTTACCCCAAAAACCACATAGTCCCTTTATTAAATTAAACTTCACTACAGAGTATCAAATTTAATCCACTGCCAATTTGTTTATAAATCACATGCTTATTTCAATAAGCAACATTTTAATTTAATTCAAAAATTGTAAAAATATTCAACAACATCGAATAATAAATACTGTAAATTAAAAATCAATGATCTTATAAACATCACTAAGTTTGTGTCAAATAATAATGTCGAACATCAAAAAAATTCCGAAAAACTTAAAATTCCAGCTTTATTTATTTTAATTGATTTCCAGATTCTTTTCATTCAAGTTCTTTCTGCAAGTTCCGACACTCCTACGCATCAATCAGCATTTATTACTAGTCAGTTTTTTAACCTGAAACATTTGTTTTTGCCAAATATCGACAAAATTTATTCAATTCGCTAAATGACATTTTAAAGCTTCTCATTTTGTTTGTTTCATTCACAATTGTCTTATCACGGATGAGAACAAGTCGGCATGTCATTTGACCATATTTGGCAAAGCAGAAATAAAATTGGCTATAATTTTATACAATCAGCTGATGATCGTCTTCATTCTATATAAAATTAAAATGTAAATTGGTCAAAAGTATCATCATCATTATCAGAATCGAATATGAATTGACCAAAAATAAGACAACATAAAGAAATAAATTTTACGCATCAAAAGAACGCACGCAAAGAGGAATACACAGAAGTAAGAGCGAAGAAGAAGAAGAAATGTGGAAAAATTAACAAGTCAAAATCTATTGTCAGCTATAAAAAGTCAAGTTATAATTAATTCCTTAGGTGATAATTTATGCTTCAATTCTTCGACTTTAAGCTGTGACCATCTTAAAGAACATGCAGGCAAATGAGTAATCAGGAAGAAATTGTATTCTAAGGCTGGGTTTCTAAAGCGCATTTTCAGATTCATTTTAAAACTGCCATTTTAAAGCTCGGCTTCAAAGTTAAGCTTCAAAATACATCGAAGCTTTAATTTCAAATCCAAATGATTTTCACACCACCAAGAACTTATCTAAAGCAATAAAACTCAAAATAAATAACTAGACACACCGACAAAAAATGAAAAACAAATGATCTCACTTCCATTTCCAACAAACTTGACATAAAACAAATTTCATTTTATGACTTTTTTCTCGTGAAATGTGTTAATAGTCGCTGCGTAGCTAATTAAATCGACACGATTGTAAATACATAGTGATATTAACAAACATTTTTAATATCGATGCAACGAGTGGCGCTCGATGCATATTTTAATGCTGTGGACATACAAAATTGCAGTTAGATTCTGAAGAATTTTTGGGAATTTTTTATAGCTACATCTTCTGCATTTAAAATTAAGTCATATGACATGCTGCTCATTTATCTTTACGCACGATCATATGAAATAATAAAAATTTCATTTCTGGTGTGCATCTGCAGAAGCAGTTTAATCCCTCAATCTCTGAAATTAAATTTCTATAGTTAAGTTCCGCAAAATGTCAGTTTTCTGATCAGAACACACGATTCTGTCTGAAATGAAAAAAAAAAATGTGAGGATTAGGATTTGAAAATTCAATAAAAATGAAAGGAGGCCATATGCTGTGTAAATATTATGAGGGTTGTTTTAATGCGGGATATTCAATTATGTATCGATTTACCGGGCCATTGTGCAATTGAGGAATTTTATGGTAGATTTTTGGTAAAATAATTAGCTTTGAGTTTGGAATGAAGATTGATTTGGTCAGTTTGGGTTGTTATTAAATCTTTAAAGCATCCTCTATGCTGCTGTATTAGGCAAATGGCGAAATATGACTATTGTTTGCTTCTAAAACGATCAAAATGCGTTTTAATAAATTTCAAACCTTAAAACTTTCCCTTTCCCCAGATATCTTTTTTCATCAATAGCAATTTATTTATTCCTCTAATAATAAATCCTTATGATTTCACCTGGAAATCTCTACTACCCAAAAAAAGAGAACTGGCAAAATAACAGCTAGGGATGTAGAATCAAAACATGATAATGCAATTTGTGACGCAATATCCTTTGTGTATTTAATCTAAACAATCGAGAAATCATCATAAAGGCATAAAGTCGTCATATGAATATTTTAATAACTCATCGGATATAAAATGGAAAGGGGTTGGATGAAAATCTCATTTAAAAAAATTTATGACACTTCATTTCTGTGGATTAATGAAAGAAATTTATAATTGAGCATCAAGTTTTGGATGGATGAAAAGTTCTTTGTTGATTTTTTATTATTTATAATGTGTGCTGTAATGGGTTTCTGGGATGAATAAGTAACTTACCAGTTTTGTGTAATAAATATCACATGTTGTTGATAGATTGGATGTATGGAAATAAAGAGAATAGAAAGGAATGAACTAATGTTAAGGATGGAACTCTTGGTTATATTTTCAGTTGCTGTAATATTTAAAGCAGTGATTGATATTTACTAGCTGCAATGCAAAGGCTCCATTTGGCAGTCAGTTGATGATAGGAGGTTTAAGGTCATATTAAAGTCATATTAACGAACTCAATAAAATACAAAAAAACCAAAATCTCAACACGTAGTGTCAAAACCTCACCACAGGAGCTTGTGGTGCGTAACGAATAATGAACGATTGGCATTAGATCTGAGATGAGAATAAAAAAAAGCATGAAACACGAAAATACATTTATGATGATCGTCTTTCTGCTTTATTCATTTCCTGAGTGATTAATTGATGCATTTTATTTTCTGTTTGCATGCATTTCTCCCGTTTATTTTCGATCCTTATTTTTTGTGAACAGTTGTGTAATGTAGGGATTGTTATGGTATCATGAAATTATTTCCTTCATTTCATGAATAACAAATCGACAGCAGCTTGTTGAATTTTGTCAATTATTTTCTGTAAAGTTGTTTCAACATTTTGTTAGAAATTAAGGATAATGACAAGCAGTATAATTTGATTGAATGCTTTATTGATCTTCATTGTGTGATTAAAATTTTCAACATTATTTTAGAATATTTTGAAGACATGAAATTTTTTTGGAAGCATGTTGAACATATGGATGAAATACATGGACAACTAAGGTAGTCAACCACAAAACTACTGGTCAGCCATCAGAAACTTTAGTTTAATTAACATTTTGCCGCACTTTGGTCCTTAATATTTGTAAAGTAGGTAAAATGAAAACCAATTCAATGTTCCGTTGAAAGTTCGAATCACAAAATTTGGTATAAGGGTTCTAGATGCGTTTGGGGTTTAAATGAAGATTTCTGAACGGACATTTGGATTCTCCTTTTCAACAGCTTTAATTTAATGATACAAAATCTTCCTATACCCAAGTAATTTGATAAATCTACATTTCACTCAACATCTCTATCTCAAAAAATAAATTCACAAATCATTAACATCTCCAAACATCTTCAAGTACCTGCTTATGTAGCAAAACACCAAAAAATGTTAATCTCAGCTGCGCAATTATGTCAAATTACCATATTCATACTGCAACGTAATAGTTCACAAAATATATCCCAAAGTGGCATGTTCACAAGAGTCTCTCTAAACTCATTCATCACATAAACATAAAAATTTCTCTGTTTACATTTTCGTTTGTTTTATTCTGAACTCTTAACGAAAAATCTCAAAACAATCTGGATTTCATTATCAACAACCTACATCTGCCCCAAAAAGACTGAGAGAGCGGCTGGAAAATTTCATTAACGGTCAACTTTTATGAGTGCCAACGGAAAGATATTCTTCAATTACAATGAGAAGAAGTGAAAATATTTTTGTGATGATGCAAACCGACAGCTGAAGACGACTTGACTATCAACCTGCAAATTCCATTTATTGGAACGAGAAAAAGTCAAAATCAATCATTTGCAGGTGTAGATTGTGCAAAAAAATATTGTTTACTGCTGCATTTTTTGGGATCAGAAACTTCTTCAATTTATTTCTTTGCTTTGTTGCTGTTTATGCTTTGTTCTCTCAAAAATGTTTGTGCAAATTGTTGAGGAATAAAAAAATTGTCATAGAAATTTGTTGTGGATCATTCAATGATTTCTATAAATAAAAGTGCAAGTTTTTCATCTGCTGGTAACAAAAAGTGTCAGGAACTTGTTATTGAATGTAGAAAGTGTGAAATTGATTCCTTGTGACTTTACTTGTGTGTTTTTTTTTAAAACTTTTGCGTACATTCAGAGTATATAGAAATCAAATCTCACTGACACTGAGAATCATGATAGGAAATTTGTGAAAATTTGTTATCAAAACTCATTCCCATTAAGTTGTTTTCCCCTTAACAACTTCTTATGTGTTCACTCGACCCATAACCTAGCAAATCACTGAAGATCACACAAAGTGCCCCAATATACAACAAAAAATTATTTTTAAAGAAATCTCATTGTTACTTATTTTCATTTTTCAAAAAGGAATCGACAGATGTAATTGAAAAATCAAGAAACAGCCGGACATAACTTTTAATATTGTTTGACTTGAAAAATGAGATCACCAACGCTGATCATCATCCTCGCTGTCCCTTTTCGTCCTTTTAATTAAAAGATTTTTCAGTTACATTGAGCAGCTGCTGCCACGCGCCGATCAATATTATTTGATAGAGGCACAAAAATAATAGATTTAAGGATCAATTTTCGACGATCATAATGAAACAATTTACAATTTAAGAAAATCATCATTTTGATAGTCCATAGTTAAGGAACGGATAGCGTCATGTGGCAGATGATTGCGCCAAAAGTGCACTGAACACAAAGAACAAAAAAATCTTCTTTCGACATGGATTTCCAAAATATTTTTTCTGAGCATTTCTCTCGTTCTGTGTAAAGTGTGTAGGTAAAAAAACTAAATGCAGACAACCAGAACTGTCATAAAAAATGTGAAGCAGATGTTTTTATGTTTTTTTTTTCGAAGCATTTTTGTTAAGAATTTATAAATTTTTGTTGCTTTTTATTCATAAACATTAATTTGTAGCTGTAAATAATATTTTTTGATTATTTCTGAGGATTGCCTTAGTTTTAAGAGCCTAATATGATTTTTCAGTGAATATTTTCAATATAATTATAAACTTTACAATTAAGTTATTGATATCGTAAATATTTGAGTCGTAAAATTTGAAGAACATTTGAATGATTCTGGGGAAAAATGTCGTAATTGCATTTATTTCTTTTACTTGTTATAACTCTAAAACTATAGAAGATAACATAGACATATTACATATTGTTGGAATTGACATCCAAAGAGCTATTTAATTATGCTATTTTTAAACCGGTTCAATCGGTTTAAACGGTTCAAAAACTGGTTCAAAGTTGAAAAACTAAGAAATTGAATAACTTTTTCAATACTTAATCAAAGGCTTTGCTTTTTAGCTCATTTTGTAGCCTTTAAAAATGTTCATAACTTGTTGGAGCTAGATTTTTGATTCTCGACCTGTGACGTCATTTATGTGCCATTTATGTCGAAATTTTGAAAGCTTATTTCTCAGCAACTACATATGATACAATAACGATATATACCTTAAAAATTTACAATTTTCTTATAAATTAATAAACATTAATAATTTGTGGGATTTGTGAATAAGTTTTGTCAAAAAATGATAAAACCTTAAAACATTAAAATGTTTTGAACACTATTTTACCTTTATTTGATACTTATCTATTAAATACGGAAAAAATTCTTATTGCATTAAAAAAGCTTTTAATTTCCTTTAAAATGATATATAACATGCTTGGGGTTTATCAGTAAATGACGTCTAAAATTTTTTTATTGTTTTCTAATGATTATTGTACCTTTTTCCATTTAATTTTAGTCTTCTATTCCAGTTTCATATATTTTTTCACATTTTTCATAGAAATAAAAGTAAATATTGCCATTTCATCAGAAAATACAAATGATTTATTAAATGTGCATTCAACTATTTGTTATTAGAGTTTTCCTACTTAATAAAACATTAGTATTTTTTGATGAAATGGCAATATTTACTTTTATTTCTATGAAAAATGTGAAAAAATATATGAAACTGGAATAGAAGACTAAAATTAAATGGAAAAAGGTACAAAAATCATTAGAAAACAATAAAAAAAATTTTAGACGTCATTTACTGATAAACCCCAAGCATGTTATATATCATTTTAAAGGAAATTAAAAGCTTTTTTAATGCAATAAGAATTTTTTCCGTATTTAATAGATAAGTATCAAATAAAGGTAAAATAGTGTTCAAAACATTTTAATGTTTTAAGGTTTTATCATTTTTTGACAAAACTTATTCACAAATCCCACAAATTATTAATGTTTATTAATTTATAAGAAAATTGTAAATTTTTAAGGTATATATCGTTATTGTATCATATGTAGTTGCTGAGAAATAAGCTTTCAAAATTTCGACATAAATGGCACATAAATGACGTCACAGGTCGAGAATCAAAAATCTAGCTCCAACAAGTTATGAACATTTTTAAAGGCTACAAAATGAGCTAAAAAGCAAAGCCTTTGATTAAATATTGAAAAAGTTATTCAATTTCTTAGTTTTTCAACTTTGAACCAGTTTTTGAACCGTTTAAACCGATTGAACCGGTTTAAAAATAGCATAATTAAATAGCTCTTTGGATGTCAATTCCAACAATATATAATATGTCTATGTTATCTTCTATAGTTTTAGAGTTATAACAAGTAAAAGAACAAAATGCCATTACGACATTTTTCCCCAGAATCATTCATTTTTTGTTTGATGGATTTTTGTTCATGGTGGGCTTGTGGACTGATTTGATAAGCAAAATTTCATACAAACCACATCAATCCTCATCAATTGAACTCAATGACCTTCTCCATTCCAAAAACTCTGAACTTGTTTTGATTCCAAGACCCACAAATCGTGAGTACAACACACTGAGCTGAATAAAATGAATCATGATGCACGACATTTAATAATTACTATGAATCTCATTATTTTGACATCTTGCGTCTATCATCAAATGACTTTTCTTTTCAAATCCAAGACCTTGAACATTTCTTCTCTGTGCACATTGCTGACTCATCTTTCATCTTTTAATTTCATTTTATTTATTGATTAATGTCTGTGTACTTTGAATGTTCATTGAAAACATAATTCTATAGTAAGGTCGAATGCCGTGATAATACTATGAGCACCTTGACATTGTGTAAGCTAGTACCGTCATCAATTACAAATTTATGGAAATTCATTTGCCATAGTCATTAACACATAATGCTGTATGACATGTGGAATATGTTTTTTGGGTAATAAGTTTTGCACATTAAATAATTTGCGTATTGATGAAGATTAATTACCGACTGTAAATTGATGTTTAGCATAAACTTTTTGGCTTTAAAAAAATCGAAATTAATGTGGTTTTAGGTTTGTTTGATGAGACTTGGTTCGAGTAGATTAAGCCATTGTAGTCTTGATTGAAGAAGACTAGGGACAGTAACATAGGCTAGGTTTGGATAAACTAGGTAAACTACATTTTAGGTTGGAGGATTGTAAACACTAAGTTGTAGGAGGTGTACACTGAAATTACCTTACAAATTCTCATCAAAAACTCTTCACACTTCAACTTCCAGTCAATGGCAATCACACCTATCAAAAATCGATAGCAACTAATTTAATTTTCTCGACTCTATCCAATTATCAACATCACCAGTCTCTTAAATTACCTCATATCAATTGTATTTCCCTTCAACTTCATTATTGCACTACCAGCTTTACTAAACTTTGTGTAGAAGTAAATTGTTAACACCTTTTGTGGATAAAAAAAGAGGTTTAAGCTAAATTATCCAGCATTCTCTGCGGCTAAACATGAAAAGAAAAAGAAGACACAATAACAATAAAAAATATTCTTTTTTAAATTTCTTTAATGATTGATCTGATAACCAGCAGCTGCTTGTCGTCCATCAATTGACTTTTATATACCAGCATAATAATATTTTTTGTTCGTACAGAACGTGTTGCGTGGCAGCAACAAGTACACATTTTCTTAAAGGTGGCTTTTATCCATTCATGGATATTATGATAAGGAACTGAGTATGCAGGCAGCAATAAAGGAAAGGAAAGAAATTTACTTAAAAAATATGTTTTTATCATTTTAACTCAGCAGTTCACTGTACTGTTCTGAGTGGTTCATTTATGGAAAATTACCAGCATGTGCTATATCGTTGTGCTTGAAAGCATTTCTCTTTCTACTTCTTCCACACAGGGGTGACTCTATGGTATTCATCTGGCTTTTTCTAAGTAAATTATTACATATTCATATCGCTCCAGACACTCTATCCGATTGCTGATGAACGTTTAAGTATGATTGTTGGAATGAAGTGTTCTGTCTTGTGGAACGCCGTAGCATAAACCTTTACATTAAATTGTCACGCATGATGGAATTGATTTATATTATTTTTTTGGTTGTGTCTATAATTTCTTTTGGTTTGCGTTCTTAGAATGTCTGGGGATTTGGTGGGGTTCGGCGTTTTTTAAGTTGCCATTCTCAGGACACTCCAATTTCCAAAGCTTGAAGACAAAAAAATAATTTTTCACTAAATTAAACAAAATATTTCACTCATTGTCAGTTAACAAGCGAGAAGACATTTTATGATGGAATTTATGTCAATTAAAGTTATTTTATTGAACCCCATTGGCAATTAAATTGAGCGACCTTTTCTATCTTTTAAGCAGCATATGGTTACAAACTACACAATAGACATAATAGATGTGATTACTATTTCTCAATTATTGGGTGTAAAATTGTGTGGATATCGAGCAGTTATGGATAGAATACAAAACTTTTGAATTAGATAAATATCCAGTAAAGAAAAGGAATCAAGACATGAATAGAGAAAAGGTTTATAAATTCGATACAATTGAAAGGATATCAATTCAATTTCCAGACTGTGACACAATCGAAAAGGTGTTGTCTATTTATCACATTTAGGATGACCTGAATTCCTTAAAATTACTGCCTATTATTTAAGAAGTTCTTTTTCTCAATGTAGAACTGTTGTGTAGATTAGTAAGGGGATTGGGAGTGTATTCACATCTGTAAGTTCTAAAAAGACAAATTTTAAGTTGTAAGCATCAAAATCAAATCATTGCTTTAAAGCTATCCTTCAGTAATAAGTCATTGCTTTAAAGCTCACTTCAACAAGCTAGGCTTCAAATTTAAGTCATTGCTTTGACATTACATAAGGGCGGTTTACTTGTGATGTCGAAGGAAGGGGGGTCAACAAGAAAAGAACAATAGAAATTCCTGAAAATTTATTTTTATTTTTTGAAAAATGATCTTTAATTTTGTCCGTCATAAGTGAACGACCCCTAAGCAAACTTTCATATTCAATGTGCTTGGTCCCTTCAGATGTGAATACACAAAAGTTCAGTTAAAATTGTTTTCATTCGGATTCTAAATCCAATAACTTTCCATACCTGATGTTATTCCTACCAGTAACACAAATATCAATAAAACACGTTGATAGATACTTCTCATGATTCATCCATTCTCCTCACTTCAAAATCATCCATTGTTTAATCTTTTTTTTCGTTATATTGTGTGATAAATAAATTATTGAATTGACCACTGTCTACACAATTAGACTTCTTTTGTATGTTCGCACCACAAAACTTTAATGTCTATTAATTTTAGAAAATTGTTTTCTTTTGTTTGAGATATTTTTTTATTGGAATTTTTATAGAGAATTTGATTTGATTGTATAAATTTTGTTAGTTTTGTTAAATAGATTTTATAGCTTGGAAAATTATAGCTCAGCTTTGAATTTTTTGTTGAGATAATATTGAGGCATTTATCTCAATTATCTTTATGAGTTATTTTACGTATGTATGTATTTTTATGATATTAGTGATGATGAATGAAATAGATGACGCATATGTAGTGATTTATGCTCACTTTGTTGATAGTATTATGATGATGAGGAATGCGAACTGCGATAAACTGCAGCTGAGAGTCATATTGTGACACAATTTTGATTATTTTTTGTGTTTTTAAGTTGTTGTCAGTAGTTTGGTGATCTAGAGTTTTGTTTTTGGTTTGAAAAAAGTTTCCAAATTATAAATTCAAGTTTCTGAATTAAAGAAAGAATAGAAAATTGACACTAATTTAGAAATTCTGAATAAGTAAGTCTTAAATATTCTAAAAACCTTGAATTTCTAATTTAAATTCTTGATAAAATTTCATTTCCAATTCTAGTTCCATCATGTCTCAATTTCATCAAGTTAATTTCTCATTAAATCAAGAAAAATTCTTAAAACAGCTCAGAAATCAAAAATTTACAATGTTGAAAGTAAGTTCAATTCCAAAATCATCAAAAGCATTTGAACTGTTGTGCTCATCATGGTTCATATCGGAAGTGCTTTCCATTCCTCATTTATTTGTTATAAAATTGAAAGTTGAAGAAAAAATTGATGAAAATTTCGATGAAATCTATAAAAATCAATTAATTCAACTTTCTGCTGAGCTATCAAAGCAGATTGTAATTGTTTTAGTGTCGAAAGTAGTGCATTATCACTGCAAATTTTATTGGAAAGCTAGTGGATGTGAAAATTTCTATTCTGTTGATGTTAACAAGGGAAATGATAAAGTTGTTGGAAAATATTTGCTTGGATTTTTGATAAGGGAGATTAAGAGTGGAAAATCAGGTATGTTTAACTATATCTTAATCAAAACTTAACTTAACCCTTTTAATTTGTTTGAATTCTCTTTATTTTACTCAGGAATCCTGCGACAGTCGCAAGACAAAGATAAATTTGAACTTAAAGACATTGGAAATTTCAATGGACGCTCCCTCCTCACTATTGCTGTTTCAGAATGCTTTAAACAAGTCGTCAGAAAACTTTTAAAATACAAATTCAGCTTAGACCACAAAGACTCAAGAAACCTAAATGCTATCGATGTTGCATGGGTCAACTACATAGAATCCAGCAACAACAAAGTAAAAAGAAGAAAGTACAATAAAATTATTTTGATGCTCCTCGAAGCGAACTCTAAATTGCCAGGTCCTCATGTTGGATTTGAAATGAAAAAGACATCAAAAGAAGTCCACAAATTTATAAGAGAATGTGAAAATTTCCATGAAGATGACATTGCTGATCCAAATTTAAAGATTTTGAGTTAAATTGTGCAAAAATCTTTTTTTGAAATATCCAATAAATCATCTTTTTGCATCAATCATGTTTTGAAATGATAATCTGAGCTTAAAACAATGCAATTACGATCATTTAAAGCAATTAACCTGATTTCATTACTGAAGCTGCCGAACTGAATTAGTGAAATCTTCATCATATGACCTTGAGTTGCTTCACTTTCTTTTCAATTTGATTTAATTAAGTTTATTGAGTGTTTTATTAAAATCTCAAACAATAAATTGACCTTTACAGGAATTATTGATGAAACATCAGTTCAGTCTTGCTAATTAGGCATTTCTTGGCAAGTCATCGTTGTTTGTTTTTATTCTTGATCTTCAGGCCTTTTGTTATTGATACTTCGTTATAAATTACAAGATTTTTAAGGGTATTTGGCTCATCATAGATGAGTCTTCTCATGATTTATCTTATTATAAATGAGGACTAAGCATATGAGGTATTGCTCTGCTACGCTTAATTTAAATTCCTATTTCCTTAATTATTTTGGAAGTAATGACATGTTGAGGTATGATATGACCTTGGTGCCAGTATGTCACACATACTTGATCATGATAGTTTTGTCACTTTTTGAAAAGGTATGGCGGCAATAAATAATTATGGCATTGCTTTATTCAAAGAGATATCAGAGTTGGATATCATAGGATGGTTTTGAACAAAATTGTGATCAAGTTTAAGATATGAGAAATGCTGGGAACAAAAGAATGTTAATAATTTAAGTCATATTAGTTCTAAAATGATAAACATGATTAGCAACTCTGCCCCTACAGTCCATATCACACTGTGTGAACACATCTGAGAAGTATCTAGCATGTCCATAATTACGACATTTGATGATCATACATTACAAGAGTCATAAGGGACATTAACGTTCAATTTACTATGAACATCTATCATTCTATCCATGAACATATGCATCTGCTATTAGAAAACTTTGTAACTTACTATAAATATTATTTTATGGCTCCTATCTTTATCGAGTCCATGACACGTAAACCACATTCTCTTCTTGGCTCTTGCTGGTTGCTAGTTATAAAAATTTAAAATATAATAAAACTTCTTCACGCTTCAAATAATCCTATAAGTTTTGAACCATAAAGAACAACTATCATCCCGCCAGCATTTTTCATCTATTCTATAATTTGAATTTATGAGCGCGTGCAATCATAATTGGCTTTGATATATTCTATTCCTTAAAGCGAGGATCTTAATTTTGTTCATAAAATAAATCAATTTTCAAGACTTAAAATTAACAAGTCACAAGTTTTCTCAATTGCTTTAAATGACCAAACGCATGTTCTTTACACGAGATGAAGTTGTCATTCATAATTCGAGAGATGACATCTGGGTCATTATTAATGGTACTGTTATTGACTTGACAATTTTTTTTCGAAAACGAGTAGAATCTGATTCTGTGAACGATGTGAGTATGAAGGTTTTGGGTTGAAAAGGATGATATTTTGATTTTTGAGGGACGGTTTGTGAAATTTTGAAGATTTTTGTTATTTTTCTTCTCACACATTTCCTATCTAGTGCCTAAATCTCTTACTAGCATATGCTGGAAAGGATCTCTCATGGTGTTTCAACGAGCAAAATTTTCCAATCTTTCGTGTCAATCAATACGGTTATTCGATTCCAAAATTCCCCCCAGTCAACGAGAAAGAGTCTCATGACAGCGATTACTGGTGGAATGATGAAAAGAATATTATCGGACATGTGACATGCCTCGAACGTCGTTTAAGAATCGTAAATACATTAACACGTAAGAAAATTGTGATGAATGTTTGCGATGAGGACAGTATTAATGTGATAAAAGAGAAATACAAGAAGCGCTTCAATAGTAATGCTGATAATTATATTTGGCGCAAGACACATTCATCGGATACGTTAAAAATTGGTCATTTGTTTATGGACAAGACACTCACACAGAATGGCATTTTGTATCATGAACATGAGAAACTTGGATTGCCATCAGCAATTTGGCTTTTTTATAATTCCTAAATGAAAATAAAGTAAAATTTCATAGTTGGATGATTTCGAGTTATTTCCTTTTATTTCACTTAACCGTCACTTTTGTGTGCCCCACTCTCTTATTTGCTATGTTCCTACATCAACCGGCTGTGCGCCACTCAAAAAACAATCAAATTATCAAAAAATTCATTTCCATTTTCATTTTTAATTTAATTTATTTAGTCGTTGGAGCTAGGTTTGTGGAATTTGATGAGGAAGTTGTTGAAACATTTTGTCTTTTGTGATTATGAGATGAATACTTAGTTGCTGAATGGTAATCTTAATGTCTTAGCCTCTTCGGCCTCTTCCAATGAACTTAAACATTGAATCGAGATTTTGCTAAGCCTAACGTTAGCTCCTTGTTTATAATGATTGAGATTAAGCTTCAGGCATTTATATTCATCTAATCTTGCAACAAATTCTTCTAAATTAGATCAAAAATGCGTTTCTGGTTCTGTACCTTTAATTATTCCCAAACCTTAACCTTTTTCTATCCCAAAAAATACTTTTCAGTTCAACTTGATGAAACAATAACAAAAGACGACGAAAAACGAAACAAAACTTCTTGGACTTGTTTGTTTGGTCTTTATGCAAAGAGAATTAAAAGTCTTGTTATTTACGATGAAAATAATGCGTGAAAAATTAAGAAATTATAGTCACGTCTTTAGACGATGAGAATTTAAAAAAAAATCTTCAAAGTCAGGTTGGGTTGGTTAGATATCGGAACGGAAATGCTGAAATTCTTCCTCAGTCACACCTTTCTAATCAACGTCCATATTCGGAAACAGAAAATTGTCATGAGAACCAGCAAACGTGCACGCAAAAAATTCTTTTCTAGTTTTTATTTTTTTTTTGTGAGTTCTGTGTGATGTGCCTATTAATTTTGTTCAGACCAGCCGATAATATCATCCATAATTAATTATTTTTGACAATTCTGCTCATGATTTTTTTATTGTCACAGCTTTTATGTAATAGAGCTAATTTACTATGCAAATTATAGACACGAAAATTTAATTTTTCATCGACAAAAATGGCAAGGAATAAAATTTGTCAATGTTTTAAAAAGGAAGTATTGAGTTTCGCGGAATTTCAGGCTATTTTATATAAAATGAGGTAATTTTGAAAATATCATCAGTGTGTAAATTATGCAATTATCATAGATGATATTTTTATTGATGAGTTTGAGCCAAAAAATTATTTAAAATAAATTGAAGCATTTGCAGACGAGTGTCTTTAAGTTCTTCTTGAATTTTGACGCAGATTTGATTTTATTGGAGCACATTTTAAGTGGTGAAAGATTGAAGATTGCAAAATTTTTGGTTATTTATTGAAAAAGTTTGATTTTGGATGAGCTTAACCTGAATTTTTTTTGACATATTGCTCAGTTCATAACTTAAGCTTCAAAATTCTTCATTGAGGTTTTCTTAATGAATTTCTTGCCTCTCCAGTTTTTTATATTTTTCGGCAACACATGAAGATTCATTAATCCATTTTTACTTCATTTAATGTTCTTTATTTGAGGAAATCGTTAATTAATTTCTTTTACGTCGCACCGAAAACATTCTCATGCTCAATTGATATGAATCTGAAGATATAAACAGAATTTTCTTAATGCATTCTCACTTCACCTGTCATTTCCTGCAGCATAAATAGTTTATTTTCGAACATTCTTGTTGATCCGCATAAAGCTGCATAAAGACTTTCACTTTTCAGGTCTTTTTTTCAATAATTTCTGTTAACAAATCGATGAAAGTTTTGAGTAAAATGTAAAGCAAAAGAAAAGTTTGCGAAAGAGTCAAGAAAAATTCTCACGCCATCGCATTCCATAAATTCCAAAAAAAAAATCTCCATTAATTTTCAATTCTATTGTTTTTTCGCACAAAAGGTTCTCGTACATCTTCTTATTCCCAGCTTATTGCGACGACCTCGAAACGTGTACCTAAGTGTGTATAGTGACTCGCGTTTAAGCACAAATTTTCTTTCCATCTTTACGCTGTGAGTCTTTCATGCTCGACTGATTCGATGGAATTTAATAATTTTCCCATTTCATGCTAAATAAAATGAAGTGAAATTAAATTAAAGAATTTTTTTTATTTCTTCTTTGCATGTTGAATCTGACTTTGTGTGGGTTTAATAAGATTAAATGAGGAGATTAGAATACGAATTGAGGATTTAGGGTGAGTTTGACTAGCTTGAGTTAAAGGTTTTTTTTTCAACTTCTGACACTTTTGTTTGAAAAATTAAAAATTTAACATTTCAAAACTTTTGCAGATTTTCCTTCAACTTGTTAAAAAAACAATTAGTGAATAACTTCAGAAAACAAAAGACAATTTCCCGTTTCATCGCATGATTATCATTTCTACGCTCACATTGTAAGTTATTCATATATTCTTCTTTCATTCAATTAATTCAGCGAACAACCTTGTCATGCCATTATGTACATGCTAAGTAAGGAAAAGAAGACAGAGAGAGAAAAAAATTCGCAAAATATATGGAACATAAAATTTTAATTAAACTAAAATATTTTATGTTTGTGACATAATTACGTATTGAGTGCTACTTGAGATCCTGTTAGAAATGCGTGATGTGGACTGAGATTGAAGATTAAAGTTTATTGATCAAAACATTGTGGCTTAATAAATTAACGCAATGAAAAAATTTCTCTCAAGTTTTGTAGGAAGTAGATGTGATAATAGTGAGTGGCATTATTACTTGGACATCCTTATAGGTGTGTAAATATTTAATACGTTATGAAATCTATTGAAAATTTGTTGTGGAATGTTGACAGGTTAGTAATAAGTTCAATACTTTGAAATGAACCTATTCAGTTACCTTAGATGGCTTGAACTTGCAGCTCTGGTCTCTATTCTCTTGGCTCAGCACCACAAAGTTAGTAAATGTTTAAACTTTAACATCCCTACATACCACCCATCCAACAGATCTCTTTCTGTATCCACATACTTTCTTATCTTTTAATTCCTACCCAACAAAAATACAAGCATCAGAAGAGCATAAAAAAATTAAAAGAATTATTCAACTATCGCAAGAAAGATTACAACATCCGCTTGTGCTCCCCTTAACATGAATCAAACATAGCAGAAAGTGCAAAAAGTAGTTAACAAGAACTATTCCATCAATTAACTCTACTTTGCATCACATCATGCGTACGGTTGCATTTACAAAAGTCAGTGAGTAAGTTCTAGGTGAGGTTTGATGCTTATTATGGGAATTTATTAAAAATCTATGAAATTATCAATTTTACCTCAATTTTCAAATGTCATACAATGTTGCTCTGATAAGTACTTCAGCATAATCAAACCATTTAGGCTTGGAAACAGAAACAATATTTAATTCCCATAAAAATCAATCGACACACCCATAACCACCTTATGCCATTTACTGTCAATATTTATCCACTAAGAAGTTCATGCAGCAGTGTAAAATGCATAATCTAACTTCAATTTAAAACCTGATTCACTTGCTTACTGCAAAATTTACAATCACTTTACAGTATGCAAAAATGAGCAAATTTGAGTCCACAATGAGCAAAGTTATTGTTGTAGGAGGTGTAAGGCTAAATGAGAGTATGGCAAGTGGAAAAATATGAATAAAAAAATACACTTAATAATGAAGCCATAAAATGCATAATGCATAACCGACATTCACGAAAAATAAATTCAGCAGAAAAAAAATTGCTTGCAAACTAGCAACAGTCTTCATCCGCTGTGCACACAACTAAAAAGTCCATTTATAGACTTGACATGCATTTTTTCGTTTGAAGAAATATGTATTGAAAAATTAAGAAAAGGTATTGAGTCACTAGTGTGGTAGTCAATTTGGATTTTAGACGCATTTTAAAACAAATCATTCTGAAATTCTAAGGTAATTAGTAAGCATTTTATATGGTTAAATTACTGGGAATCTCAAATTTAAATGATAATTTGATTCAAAAAATGGCGAAACCACGTGTTTATCTCACTTGAAAAAGTTTTTTCGTTTTTATTTCTTTTAGCTTAAGAGCATCTTCTGTTAATCTTTATATTTCTGTTTAAAAAGATGGCAAAAATTTAAATAATGTGAGTTTAGAACCTAAAATGCAAGACTCAAACATAATTTTCAACTTTCTTCTTAAAAAATTACAAAGTTTAAACGTAAACTGCAATAAAACTGCCAATCTGATCATTAAATCTCATTTTCTCTAACAAAACTGCACTTAATAAGTAGTAGAACTTGCCAATTGAGTGTGTTTGTAGGCATGCATGCTTGTCATATGGCTTAAGACTTTTATTTTTCTTATTTTACTTACTTCTGCACACTTTTTAATAATATGAATAAAAAAAAGTTGCAATACAAGAAGATTAAAGCAAAAACAAGCTGAATGTTAGTCACAATTTTAATTTCATATGCAAGAGATTGATATTCAATGAAGTTGAGATACGTTTTTAGTTGAATTTTGCGCGCTGTTACGTTTTGCTGGATTTTTTCTCTCGTGTTGAAGTTAATTTCTATTTTTGGTGTAGAAAAGTCGAGTTTTTTTATAAATTCAAGTGAAGTTTTAAGGACCATTGAATGGGTCTATTGATGTGAATGCTTAACGGCATATAAAAATAATTAAAAAAAAAAAAACTACACGAAAAGTTGTTGTAATAATTGAAAGGGTCATAAAAATCGTTGTTAAAAAATTAAAACAGCATAAACCGAGAAAAGAGGCGCAACAATAAAGGCTCGCGATGCCGATAAATAATAATTCAAGGCCCGGTCTTCGTAACTCCCACGCAAGGTGAGGTGAATTTTAATGGTCGATAGCTTGAATTCACGAAAATGTTCAGGTTTCGTTCACATCGCCCACGTGTATTTAATAAAGATTTCTTGCAGCGATGTCTCATGGCTCTTATGGACGAGCTATTGATTAATTTTATGCTGATTATTTAACAAGACATTTATCAATTTACGTTTCAGTCGACACCAAATGATTACTGCAAGTCAGCCTGTTCCGAAGGCAAATTATGTTGTGCCAGCGACTGCAACAGTGCAAACTAAATGTAATAGTAATCATGCTACGGTAAGTAACCTTTTTAATGTTTTTAAGAGAATAAGTAAGAAAGTAATAGTTGTGTTGAGGCTTGGAGCGCATTTTATTGAAACACCTCACATAGTGCCTAGTCTTAGGCACCACAACTGAATATTCAAGCAAACTAGTTGAGTTGCCGATGAAGTGCATAAAACACTATTAAGCATCAAGTCTAATGCATCTGATCGCCACATAAATAGCAAAATTACTTAAGGCAAATACTAGTGATTTTATGCAATAACATATCAACATGAACAGAGTAAAAGTACTTATTTTGCGGTTGAGTGACGACGAGAGATGCTCCATTGAGATTCTTTTACAATTATTTGCCCATAATTTTTACCTTCCATTCTTACCGCTCTGCCTTGTGTGCAATTTCCTTTATTAATTCTAATTAACTTCAATTCATTTATTCTTACTCTTCACAGCCTGCTTTAGAGCCATTTGAGAACAGTTTCTGCATTGATGATTTTTTGCTCTTTTATTATTATCTTGCCTTGGCATTGCAAATCGCTGTATTTTCTTAATGCACTTCCACTCGCACACTCTTGAGCGATCGGTGAGGCAGAGAAATGATATAACACATTTTCGAGGTTTCTCTTTTTTCCATTCTTTATCTATTCATTTCCCATCGTTTATTGCTTCTTCTTGATGCACTTCTCGTACAATTTCTCGATAAAATGAAATTAATTTCAAATTAAATATTTACTTGAAGCATTTCAGTTATGTTTATGTGCGGTATGTTACAATTTATATTCAATTTTTAGTAATATAAATTGTGTTATGTCCAATGTATGTAAACAGAATAAATATCAGTTGGCTTTCGAAAATTTTGAAAAAATTCGTAAATGATCAATTTTAAAAAACAAATATACGTTAGTAATTTTGTCATATTTGAAAATTTAAAATACGTTAGTAATTTTGGAAATCATTAAAATATTTATTAACTTTAAAATTTAATTATTTTTTGAGGCAAATTCATTTCTTTTATGCATAAAGCGACCCTGATACTGTAACTTCTTCCTGAATTCAACAAATGCTTTAATAAGCTTATCGATAGTTTCCTTGAAATAACATTTTTTGTATATACTTACAAGAGATGGAAATGCATTCGCATTTAATCGTATTCTCTTTGCATTCCTATTTACCATAGAGTGACAAAAATGAAGAACGCACAAAAAATACTTTTTTGACTGAATATATTGAATTTCATGATATTTTAAATAGTCGATCCATTTTCCTCGATGTATCGAACTCTCTGGAAGTTCAAATATGGGGATGTTGCTATTTCCTCTTCCTTTACAGCTTTGAATTCCACAAATTTTAACCATTTTAAAAAATTTCGAATTTTTGAATTGAAAACGTAAACAAATTTTCATAACGAACATTTTGAATTCAAATTTTTTTCCCGCGTTCGAAAAATAAGATCCTTCGAAATCGAAAAATAAGATCTTGTTTACAGACATTGGTGTTATGTTTATTAAGAATTTAAAAATTGTTCATTCTTAAAAAACACAAATTGAAGGGAATGAACCAAAAGTTTAAGAACATTCACAGTGTGTACGCACATAAATTGATGTTTATTCTTCAATTATTGAGAAATTGTTGGGCGGCGTTGGGCAATAAAGATATGTAGGGATGATATCAATTTAATAATAAATTGTTTGGTGTAATTTTGATTGTTTTCTCATGATAATTATTATGTTGCTTATACTTAGGGTTGATCAATAGAAATATGTTGAATATTAAGGTCAAAATTAAGGAGGATGCATAGGAAATAATGTTCAGTCCTTAAATTAATTGGGATGGGAACAGCATAAAGGTGTGGTCAATTATTTTCATATAAATTTTTTTGAGGTATATTATCAGGGCAGGGGTCAATTAATTTGAACGTGATGCTGGTAATAAAAATATTGAGAAATATATTATTGTTGAATTAAAAAAAAATTAAAATTTCAACAAAAAATGTCAAGTTCTTAAGATCTTAAGATTCGATCTTACAATTTTTTCTTCATTTTTAATATTTCCAATAATCCATAATACAAGTTTTTGTTTTTTTATGAACACATCAATCCACTCTCTTAAATTACCATCCTCAAGTGTTTCTCAATTACATCAACCTGCTTCTTCTTCATCTTCCTTAAACATAAATTCCATTACAAAAAAGATATCACGGCGGAAGGAGGAATTTCAAATGTAAAGCAATAATTCTTTAAAATTTCTTAATAAAACAAAAATAAATTCCTTAAAACGAGATCACCCAGAAAGATCAAAAGGAAGTCACTTGAAATATACTTTTATAATCGTGAAGAATTTAATATTTTTTTTTTTGTTGGAAGTAGATGTTTACGGAAGATTACATAAAGACATAACAAAAGGATAAAACTTCATTAAATGGATTCTTTCTTTACTTCCTCATATGAGTCGGGGGTTTGGATGTACATGTTTTGCAGTTAATGCGAGAAATCCATCAAGTTTCACTCAACAGGACATTAAAGAAAAGTTAAAAATGGAAAGAAATGGGTGAAAGATGACAAAGGCGCATTTTGTAAGTTGATGATGAGAACAAAATGGAGGTTTTTGGTCTTGGGATTTTCTTTAAACTATGCAATGCTTAAACAACTAGTTTAAGTAAGTTTATGGCAAAAGACTTTTTAGGATCATCAAGAGTAATCAACAAAATCCTCTATAAATAGACAAAACGACACTTTGTGAGCAATTTTTACCATCTCTAGAAAAAAGCTACAAAATCTCAACACATGCTTTACGGATGCATTTTAGGACCTAAAACGCCTCCTTTTAAACACATAAAATTGTCTATTTCAAACATGAGCAGGCAAAAAAGTTCTTTAATCTTAGATTATCCTTTTTGTAGATCATATGTAGACCATATAGACTACTCGAGGCACACATGTGCCTGGCACATTTCGATGTTATTCTTTCAAAAGAATCCTCATAAATCTTAGCTCCATAACTTTCAAGAGCTATTAACTTAAAAGAAATTTCTCTGTTTGTAATAAACAGATTTCTAGTAAGATGCACTAAGCATTGACATTATGGAGCAGTTGAAAATTCTCGTTGTCAATCCTCTTCCGTTACTTAAAAAAATATTTTCATTTTCTTCCCTCATTTGTGCTTCATATTTTAACAATTTGCCTTAATAAATATTTATTAAATTTGATACTTTTATTGCTGAAATAACAATCATGGCAGAAGATGAAAAAGGTTTTTAAATAGGAAAGAATTCTTCCACTTCCCGTCAAAAGTGTGCGTAATGAAAATATTCTATAAGGAACTGTGAGGATCGAATAGCATGCAATTATATCAGAAATTGTAGGGGTGAATTTAATTGTAGAATGAAAGGTTTTATAGAAATTGAAAATTCTGATGTTTACTGTAAAATTTGCTGTTCTGTTCTAGCAATTGAATCTTTTGGTTCATTGCTTGGAGTTGAGGCACATTTTGTATTCTTACGATTCTTACAATAAATTTCATTTCTTAAGTCTCAAATAGTCATAAAATTAGCAATTGTGTTATGTGCAGTAAAATTTTTATTTTTAAACCATGTGCTTGAAAGAAACAAAGGAGCTAATTTTAATTTATGATGCATTTTAAGCACGAGTGAAGATGCATGTTGCTATTTTTAACCTAGAATTGCTGCATACTCTTTTAAAATATGCTATTTTGAAAAAAAAAATGAAAACCAAGAAAATTTGGCGTTAGGGTCTTGAGGCACATGTTTAGTCTCATTTCTGGTTGATTCTCAGAGATAAAAAAAAAATTTTTTATGCCTTACTAGAAGCTCAATAAACCTAAATTTTAGCACCTTATTGTCTTGTGAAATTTCCAATAAATTATTCAAATGTCCAAGTCATGATTTTAATAAACTTTATAATTAGCTTTCAATATCGATAAAAAATTACTTCCGCTACATTTGTCATGAAATTCCTTAAAATAATCGTGACACATTTTAATTTCATGTGATAATGGACTTCCATTCATATTCTTAAACGATTCATGAACTTATTTTTTAAATTGTTTTGGACTTAAAATAATTTTCAGAAGCCAAACTTTGTTCAACTGCAACTGTCCTGTTACTTAAACAACTAAATGCATTGTCCAGCGCTGTGCATTATTTAAAATTAAAACAACTTTAAATTTTCAAAAGAATTTCTTGTCATTATTCCGGTAACAGTAACTTATTAACAAGTTCCACTTATTCCTCATATTTGTCCAGCAATTATGTTTTTTCTAACAATATCATTATGGTACGGCATTTCGTGACAACTTCATACCGACCACAAAAAAAGTCACAATTTAATGAATTTAAATTACTTTTAAAGTCATGAATTAAAAAATTATTTTTTATGTGGGGTGCAATAAACACATTCATTCATAAGAAGGCATACGAAATGTCCACTAAGAAGGTCATCTGGATAGAGCATGTGTTACTGTGAATTTTATTTCTTAAAAAATGAAATATAAAATTTTTTATATGTATCATTTGGAATGCAAATTTTTTATTCTTGTTGAGATACTTACAAGGCAATTTGCAATGTCATGCATTTTAAATGAGTAATGTAAAAGAGATCTAAAGTAGATTGAATCGTTAGGATTATTTTGTCAGATTTTTGGAATATATATTGGTTATGGTTAAGGGAATTTGAGGATATTTTGGCCATTTAATGTCTATTTGTTCATAATCTTAGTTTAGTACCGCATGATCACTGTTTAGACCTTAAAACTTCATGTTCCTTATAAATTCTGACAAAATCCCCACAATACCTCACACTTCTTTCATTATTAGTTATATTAAGGGAATTAAAAACACAGATTTGTCTATCAACAAACCAGAATTATGTCAAAAGCGAATGTCGACTTTAATAAATGCACTTGATAGTCATTTCTGAAGTTCAAGTTTCTTTTTAAAGTCGCGAAGTTAATTACAAGCTTATAGCAATGTAATTGCCTATGTAATATGAAATGTGAATGGATTAAAAGGTGTATAAGTTCAGTTGAATATGAATTAAGAGTTTTAAGTCAACGGTACTGCACACACATGTCGTGTTCTTGTTCAGGTGCTTTATAGGATATAAAATTTGAATAATATCAGCTTGTGCAAGAATGA